CACCCAATATCTATATTATATTTATAGTCACTGTAACTTGAAATAAATATTCAAATGTTTGATCCACATATTTGTTTGGGATTGGCTCCAAAACTTATTAATCTTAAATTTTTAAAGGTGCATTGTGTTTTTGGTTTGAGGTTCTATGGATGTTATTTCCCTGCCGAGAATGTTCCACAGTGTGACATTAAACAGCTCTACTTTACATTTATTCAATTACATATGACTTTTTAGTTCAAAAATACCTAGAAAAACAGACATTCTGACTGTGAGCGGGGTCTCCTCTCCACAGATCTGACCTGTTACTTGGTCTGGTTTGGTCTCCATGAAGATAGAATGGTTTAATGCCATACTGTGAAATATTCCAGACAAAACAATAACATTTCCAGAAGAAAAAGGATTTGATGGACCCTCCAGCAGAAAAGTTACGTAATGGATCTTTAAAGTGCTTTCAACTGGCAACAATCACATCTTTGGGGTTGAATATTGGCAACACTTTCTGAAACTTAATTTCACTGTTTATTTATAATGACACAGACGACTTTGAACTTTGTGCCAGTTTTTGCTTCCTGTGGATAGACGCAGTAATGACAGAGATATGAACCATAAAATAAAGGTGCATTGTGTAACTTTTCTGGTGCAGGGTCTGTTGTCTGATTTTTTTCTTTTTTTTTTTTCATGGATATTTTATTGCTGTGTGTGAAATGTTCCACAGTAGCATGAAATGTATCTGTCGTGCATTTATTCGATCACAGGTGTTTTCTTGCTTAAAAAACGTCAGCAGGGTCGCCTCTGCACAGATGTGATGTGTAACTCTGCTGCTTGATGGCGTCACTTTTTAGCCCCAATAGAGATACATACGCTTAATGCATTTAATACTAGTACTGTGGAGCATTCTAGACAAGGCAACAATATCTCCATGGAAACGAGGAGGTGACCGATCTTCCACCAGAGAAGTTACACAATGCACCTTTAAACCATGGACAACAACATTAAACTATATTTCTTTTGTTATGACTTGTTGTGTATAGAGTTAGAGTTGTCTCAAATGTCAAGGTCCTGGTTTAAGCCCTGTTCTAGTCTTGGTTTAGTCTTGTTCTAGACCTGGTTCTAGACCTGGTTCTCGCCTTGGTTTAGTTCTGTTCTAATCCTGGTTTAGTTCAATTCTAGTCTTGGTTTAGTCTTGTTCTAACCCTGTTTATAGTCCTGGTTCTAGCCTTGGTTTAGTTTTGTTCTAGTCCTGGTTTAGTTCTGTTCTAGTCTTGGTTTAGTCTCGTTCTAGTCTTGGTTTAGTCTTGTTCTAGTCTTGGTTTAGTCTCGTTCTAGTCTTGGTTTAGTCTCGTTCTAGTCTTGGTTTAGTCTCGTTCTAGTCTTGGTTTAGTCTCGTTCTAGTCTTGGTTTAGTCTCATTCTAGTCTGGTTTAGTAGTCTAATCTTGTTTAGTTAGTCTAGTCCTGTTCTAGTCTGATTGTAATCTGGTTCTAGTCTTGGTTTAGTCTCGTTCTAGTCTTGGTTTAGTCTCGTTCTAGTCTTGGTTTAGTCTCATTCTAGTCCTGGTTTAGTATTGTTCTAATCTTGGTTTAGTTAGTCTAGTCCTGGTTCTAGTCCTGATTGTAATCCTGGTTCTAGCTTTGGTTTAGTCTTGTTCTAATCTTGGTTTAGTCTTGTTCTAATCTTGGTTTAGTCTTGTTCTAGTCCTGATTCTAAGCCTGCTTTAGTTCTGTTCTAGTCTTGGTTTAGTCTTGCTCTAATCGTGGTTGTAGTCCTGGTTCTAACCTTGGTTTAGTTTGGTTCTAATCTTGGTTTAGTCTTGTTCTAGTCTTGCTCTAGTCTTTCTATATAGTCCTGGTTTTAGACCTAGTTCTAGTACTGGTTTTAGTCCTTTTTTTTTAGGCCTAGTTCTAGTCTTGGTTTAGTCTTGTTTCAAGTCCTTAATCTAGTCCTAGTTCTAGTCCTGGCTCAGTTCAGTTCTAGTCCTTTTTCTACTCCTGGTTCTAGCCTTGGTTTAGTTCTGTTCTAATCCTGGTTTAGTTCAGTTCTAGTCTTGGTTTAGTCTTGTTCTAACCCTGTTTATAGTCCTGGTTCTAGCCTTGGTTTAGTTTTGTCCTGGTTCTAATCCTGGTTGTAATCCTGGTTCTAGCCTTGATTTAGGTTTGTTCTAGTCCTGGTTTAGTTCTGTTCTAGTCTTTGTTTAGTCTCGTTCTAGTCTTGGTTTAGTCTCGTTCTAGTCTTGGTTTAGTCTCGTTCTAGTCTTGGTTTAGTCTCGTTCTAGTCTTGGTTTAGTCTCATTCTAGTCCTGGTTTAGTATTGTTCTAATCTTGGTTTAGTTTTACTCTAGTCCTGGTTCTAGTTCTGATTGTAATCCTGGTTCTATCTTTGGTTTAGTCTTGTTCTAATCTTGGTTTAGTCTTGTTCTAATCTTGGTTTAGTCTTGCTCTAGTCCTGATTCTAAGCCTGCTTTAGTTCTGTTCTAGTCTTGGTTTAGTCTTGCTCTAATCGTGGTTGTAGTCCTGGTTCTAACCTTGGTTTAGTTTGGTTCTAATCTTGGTTTAGTCTTGTTCTAGTCTTAGTTTAATCTTGCTCTAGTCTTTCTATATAGTCCTGGTTTTAGTCCTGGTTATAGGCCTAGTTCCTAGTACTGGTTTTAGTCCTTTTTTTTTTAGGCCTAGTTCTAGTCTTGGTTTAGTCTTGTTTCAAGTCCTTAATCTAGTCCTAGTTCTAGTCCTGGCTCAGTTCAGTTCTAGTCCTGGTTCTAGTCCTGGTTCTTTGGACAGCAGCATTAAACCATATTCCTTTGGTTATGATTTGTTGAGTAGATTTACTAGAAAGATCCTTGTCTGTTTTTGTCCCTAACCGCTTCCTGTAGCTCCGCCTTCATGAAAGATTGATGCGTTTTATATTTTTCTAGAGCGGAAGAAACAAGGGTGTAGTTCACGACGCTCGATCAATAAAACATGACCTCCTCCGAAGTGGCGTGAGGAAAGAACCGGAGACATCCCAAGAGTTTAAAACAGGAAAAGACTGTCCAGAGAGAGACAGGGAGAGGAAGTCCACAATCAGGTCAAATTACAACAAACAGATGGATTTCCGAGTGTCTGTCTGAAAAGGCTGGCCTTGTAATTTAAATGAACACTTCAAAACAATACCGAGTTTGATTGGGAAAAAGCTCTTAAAATGGCGCCCAGAACAGGAAAAGGTCACGTGATTGAAGCCCATTGACAAGTTCTTATTGTTGGTGTGTATGATAAAGAGTGAACAATATCACAAAAGTATACAAGTGAAATTAACAGTAGATTTGATTTATTACTGAAATATAAATGACTTCAGAACAGGTTTGTAGATGTTTCAAATACAAGCTCCTGTTTTACTCCTGGTTTAGTCCTGGTAGTTCTATTGTAGTCCTGGTTCCAGTCTTGGTGTAATTCTGGTCTAGTCCTGGTTTAGTCCTGCTTCTAGTCCTGGTGTAGGTCTGGTTCTAGTCCTGGTTTTAGTCCTGGTTCTGCTCCTGGTGTAGTTTTGGTTTAGTTCTGGTGCAGTTCTGCTTTAGTCCTGCTTCTAGTCCTGGTGGAGTTTTGCTTTAGTCCTTGTAAATGCTGTTTTCTTTAATGTATTTAGGACCCCCTCCCAAATGAGATCCTACATCTCAAGGGGCTTCCCTTATAAATAAATAAATTGTGTAGTTCTGGTGTAGTTCTGGTTTAGTCCTGCTTCAAGTCTTAATGTAGTTCTGGTTTAGTCCTGGTGTAGTCCTGGTTGTAGTCGTGTTTGTAGTACTGGTTTAGTCCTGGTTTAGTTCTGGGTTAGTCCTAGTTCTGGTCCTGGTTCTAGTTCTGGTTTTGTCCTGGTGTAGTTCTGGTCCTGGTCCTGGTTCTAGTTCTGGTTTTAGTCCTGGTGTAGTCCTGGTTCTAGTCCTGGTGTAGTACTGGTTTAGTCCTGGTGTAGTACTGGTTTAGTCCTGGTGTAGTTCTGGTTTAGTCCTGGTGTAGTACTGGTTTAGTCCTGGTGTAGTTCTGGTTTAGTCCTGGTGTAGTTCTGGTTTAGTCCTGATGTAGTCCTGGTTCTAGTCCTGGTGTAGTACTGGTTTAGTCCTGGTGTAGTACTGGTTTAGTCCTGGTGTAGTACTGGTTTAGTCCTGATGTAGTCCTGGTTCTAGTCCTGGTGTAGTACTGGTTTAGTCCTGGTGTAGTTCTGGTTTAGTCCTGGTTTTACTCCTGTTCCTAGTCCTGACTAGAAACCAGACTAGAGTCTTGTTTCTAGTCTTGTTTCTAGTCTTGTTTCTAGTCTTGTTTCTAGTCTTGGTTCAAGTCTTGGTTCAAGTCTTGGTTCAAGTCTTGGTTCAAGTCTTGGTTCAAGTCTTGGTTCAAGTCTTGGTTCAAGTCTTGGTTCAAGTCCTGGTTCAAGTCCTGGTTCAAGTCCTGGTTCAAGTCCTCTGATAGTCCGCTTCTTGTCTTGTTCTAGTCCTGATTTAGTCCTTATTTAATCCTACTTTTGTTCCGGGTTGAGTTGATTAATCTGTGTGTAGAATCTTTAATGTTTTATTAGTGAAATAATGATGTAAATGTCATTAAAAAGGGAACCCTCTATCCACTCCCTCTCTCTGTCTCTTCATCCTCCCTGTCTCCATTCCTCCCCCTCTCTCGTCTCTCGTCTTTGCTTGTCTCATTCTCCCTAATGTCCGTGGTCATTACAGTGGTGAATGAGACTCCACAGTTTTTAAATCTTTTTCAATCAAGTGAATCCGACTGTTGGTGCTTTAACTGGTGCATTTGTCACTCCTCAGTGTTACATAACTCTTCAAACGATCCAAATCTGTCCATTGTAACTGCTGGAGTGTGAGTGGAAGACGTCGTTTCAGATCAGGCTCTTAAATGGAGCTTATTTGTGTGTGGGAGTTGTTATTATGTTGAAAAGCTTTGTAATGTTATTTTGACTATTCATTTATTGAGTAAAAAGTACATCATTATAACATGTTTTTGTGTTTTTGTGTTTTGTTTCTTTCAGCTTTTCAGAGAAGTTAGAATAATGAAGATCCTTAATCATCCCAATATCGGTAAGAACTGGTTTAAACTTGATAACACCACTTTAAACTATGATAATAAATAATAAATAATAAATAATAGTGCTAGTTTGACAAAATACCTCTTTGTTTATTTGCAGTATTTTTTGGAATACTTCTGTAACATGTTATGGATCTCAGATATCTAAATCTCAAATTAACTACATTTTGTCAACATCGTCCACTTCTAATTCAGCTGTACCACTTCACATTTCGATCTCAACCCTTGCCAATTTTTTTTTTTTTGCTTCTAGCGTAACTAAATGTTAAAGATGCATTGTGTAACATTTTGGTTAGAGGTCTGTCATTTTCTGGATACTATGGATGTTATTTTTCTGCCTGGAATGTTCCACAGTATGACATTAAACAGCTCTACATAGCTACTACCAAAAATACCGAGAAAAACAGGCATTCTGACTGTGAGCGGGGTCGCCTCTCCACACATCTGACCTGTAACTTGGTGTCGTTTGGTTTCCATGGAGATAGAAAAGCTTAATGTCCTACTGTGAAACGTTCCAGACAAAGCAAGAACGTTTCAATGGAGAAAAGCGTTTGACGGAGCCTCCACCAGAAAAGTTACACCTTTAAAGTCTCCATATCGTTTATTTTACATTTTTACTGTCTTGAAAACTTAAAAAAAAAACTAGATTATTATAAACAAAAGAACTAGATTATTATAAACAGTTTTAGAGTTACTCCTCACTTACCTTATGCATTCTGAATGTCCTATTTTTTCACCACAATGAGTTTATAAGAACTTTTCACAACTATCAGAGGGTCACACTAACCACAACTAGCAAGCTAACATCACACTTCCTGATTTTTTTCTAATTAGCAACAGCCCATAGAAAGCAGACTTATTTTTTTACTTTTGGGTTGGGGGGGTCCGTCACCTGCTTGTTTCTATGGAGATGTCATTGCGCTGCCTGGAATGTTTCACAGTATGGCATTAAACCTTTCTATCATCGTGGAGACCAAACCGGACGAAGTTACAGGTCAGATCTATAGAGAGGCGACCCCGCTCACAGTCTGAATGTCTGTTTTTCGAGTATTTTTGAACTATAAAACCAATTCAAATTGAATAAATGTAAAGTAGAGCTGTTTAATGTCACACTGTGGAACATTCCAGGCTGAGCAATGACATAACCATAGAAACAAGCAGGTGACGGACCCACAACCAAAACGTGGGGGGGGGGGGGGGGGAGTCTGCGGTGTACTGGCTGTATCTAATATTTTTAAATGTTTTATTGTCTTAGAATCAGGAAGTGTGCTATTAGCATGCTAGTTGTAGCCATAGATGCAGCCAGTAGACAAGAGCTGCTTATAGGTAAGTTTCATTGTTGACAAAAGCGTGCGTTGCATGCTGGGAATTATTTTGGTCAGCGGCAAGAAACACTAATTCAACATGACGGACGGAGCGAGAAAACACGTAAAGGGTATTGATCCTGGTTATTTATCCACTCTAACGGCAGAGGACCCAAGACCATTTGACCAGAAATTGGTCATAAGCATCGATGGAGCCAAATCTCCCTTTTCAACCCTGACAGAGCCTGGACCAAACCAAATTTCTGGTCGGAATCGCCAACTACCTGGACAAATATTCACTTTGGTGATATCCACAATGACTTGGTGGAAACTCCTGGGCCATTCACAGCAGAAAAGATGAAAACCTCCAAGAGTCTTCATGTGTTGTTGAACTTGTTGGAGTCCACAGTTTGTTAGGATCTTCTACGTTTGCTCTGCGAATGTTTGAAAGCCGTTTAATTCACCGTTAGCGGTTCTTTTCACTCAGAATATGAAAAAGACATTTTTCTCCTTCGGTGCTTCTGTTTGTGCATCCGATAATGCAGCAGGAATTTACCATTATCGGGGATAAATACGCGAGGTTACGCACTGTGTTTGACCGCTATCCTGTTTCTTGCCTCCGACCAAAATATTTCCCAGCATGCAACGCGGGCTTTTAATAACAATGACGTCAGCTGAAACTCACCTATACAACATATCTGTACTGGGGCAAGATACATTTTACTCAAATACACGGGAAAAATTGGATACAGAGACTTGAAATTGCTTTCACTTTTGTCAATCATGTTTTATTTTACACTTTTAACTTTCTTAACACTGGACAAACTGTAGGATGTAAAATAAATCCGGCATATTTGTGTAAGCGCACACCAATCAGACGGTTCAATCTGGGCTCATGTATTTTTCATAACACCTGATGCCTGTCCAGAGCGTCTGCAGATGTATTCATGACACCGGCGGCGCTCGTCTCTCTCGACTGTTTGAAGTGTTAATTGAATCATAATTGGTTTCTTGGTCTATTTGTTCTTTTCCCAGTGAAACTCTTTGAAGTGATCGAGACGGAGAGGACGCTTTACCTGGTCATGGAGTACGCCAGCGGAGGTGAGAAACGCAAATGAAAATCTAAAAATATTAAGATCTTTTCAGGATTTTAAAAGTGAAAGGTCAGTTCAAACTTTAAGGCTGTGACAATGAAGGTGCTTTTATTCTGAAATTTCGAACAAAATGGGTTTTTAGCGTCGCCATACTATTTCATCATATTTAAAGCTGCTCCATGGAGCTTTTCTAGTGCATGTCTGCGTAGAAATGTATTAGCGTTGCGTGGGTTGTTCCGAGTACGGCATTAAACCAGCTCAAAGTAAGAATGCATATTTCAAGATATGTTTTTAATAATAAAAATCTGAAAAAACTGAATGAACTAAATACAATATAGATAAAGCATGGCCGCAACCTCACAGTAAGGGCACGTTTTTATAAATTTTTCAGTGGAATAAAAACAATCTAAATGAAAAAACACACTTTGGTATTGATTATTTATTGGCTAAAAGTTACACACTGTGGCTTTAATGACTGGGCCTAGTGGTATAAACAAAAAGTGCATCAAATCAATCTATTTTGTTCCTCGTTGATTGATGTATATATGCATTTTTTTACGTTCAAAAGCAAAAAATTATGGTATTCAATTTAAATTTCCTGAACAGTAACACTAGACATCAATGTAACATAAAAATAAATGGTTAATGGTCACATTTTTATAGGCACTCGGAGCGTTTTATATTAAGGAATTAACCCCTTTCACACACATTCATACACCAGTGTACGCAGACACCGAGGGTGAGGTGGGTTAAGTGTCTTGCTCAAGGACAAATAACCACAATTCTTCCTTCAGAGTCTTGAGTCTGCTCCAAACAACACATATTTTTCCTGATGAGGATTAGCTGAAGATCTCCCTCAGATCACTGACCAATAGAGTTCATCAGCACTTTCACAATAATTAACTTGCTAAAAGGACACTTCTGATTCTAAGATGATAAAAGACCATCTAACTAGCTCCAGCCAGTGCACAAAGGATATAGTTTGACCTCAAGAGCAGCTTGTACAATATGTCTATACTTGCTGAAGATCTCTGCAATAAAAACACACCAATAGACACCTGACTAATAGAAAAGACTGAACTTAAATCTCGATTCAGATTTGATCAATTCCACAGCTTTAGTCCATAATTGCTCTCGCTCATGGAGTTGCCATATTGTCCACTTCTAGTTTTATAGTTAAAAAATTCACAACAAGTTTACAGTTCATTGCAGTTGATTCACCCAGAGCCAGTTCTGACCCAATTGGAGCCAGAGCAGCTTTATACCCCAAAGCAAAACATTTTCAGTCTGCTCCCAATGATTTTTAATTCCCCCCTCCTCTCTCCATTTAAATTTTGCAAACTTCAACTTGTTTTTGCTACTTTTAAAGGTCCTATATTACACAAAATGGACTCTTGTAACCATTAAGCCATGTTGTAATGCTGTTGCGTCCTCAAAAACACACATGGAGTTGTGTTTTGTTTCATCCACACATGTTTAATGCACAAACCCTGCACATTTAGGATGAGTTCTGTCCTTCTCTCAAAACTCAAAAAACTTGTCCTTGTGATAATTTGGACCCTTTAAACACAGAATAATCTCTTGTTTTTCTCACCATAACATCCAGCATTTGTCCGTTCTATTTTTGAAATCATGACTCAGAGCGTATCGATTGAACGCTGCTTTTTCCGGTGTTGTAAAAAGCACTCAAACGCCTCTTCGGGTCAGGGCTGTGTGGAGTGTTCTTCCTCTTTAAATGCTGCTTATGCGTGGACGTTGCTGTCACGTTTTGGATGGGGGTGTTTGGACAATAGCAAGATGATGATATGAATAGCATGTTTTTTTATTATTGTAGTGTGGGAGTTTGTATTTGATCGGTCAAGCTGCAATACTATTTCATAATACAGTAAACACTTAAAAAAATATGTTTACCTTCTATTTATATATTCAGGCGTAGCATCAATTCTAATTACAACTGTGCAAATGTTTAGCAAGAACTTAGACTTAACTTAGACGAGCTTTATTGATCCACAAGGGAAATAATTTGGACACAGTAGCTCACACATCACAATATAATAGAATAACAAAGAGAAAGAATACAAATGGTAATAATAAATTCACAATAAGTGCAAGAGACTGGTGTCAGATAAGTAGGGTTTTCTGACACGATACTGGCAACAACAAAAGCTCAGATTCTGCACATTTTTCAGGTATCGGTATTGGTGGGTACTCCAAATAACAGATCCGATTTTTTGCAATGAGGACCTGTAGATGGAGGCTCTGCAGACACTAAAAACTAAAAAAAAAAAAAGACAGAAAAGATATTTGTGTTACCTCTTTGATACCTGCATTTAGCCTTTAGAGTGCAGCCCGTCAAAATGACAAGAAAATGATATATTTGATTCTTAACACTTAGTTCTATAAATCTCATGTATTCTTCTAGATTTTCTTTAGAGATAGACTTTTAGTAGGTTTATTTCTTGCTCTTGTACTGTAACAAAATTGAGTAGCCTTAGTCTACTTCGTCACACTATGTGGTATCGGACTGTATCGGTATTGGCAAGTACACTAAGGCCAAGTATTGATTTCGCAACTGATCCAAAAAAAAAAGTATCAGAACAACACGAGAAATACGGTGTAATTATATAAATGTACATGAGTAGAAATAAAAATATATCTCGGCTACGTACAAGAGGTCGTAAGGAAAACAGTGCAGAGATGATATGATGGTTGACAGGAAAGCAACTATTCAATCAAAGCTTTCAATTGCAATTTATCAAGGCTCCAAAAGCTGTATTTTTATAGTATTATGTAGGACTGAGCATCGAAATTTGGTTCCAAATAAGAACCAACAGAAAAGGTCTGGTAAGTATTCCTTCCTTGGTTCCTTGGTCTTAAAGGTTCATTGTGTAACTTTCTTGCCAAGAGGGTCCGTCATACGCTTTTCTCCATGGATATGTTATTGATTTGTCTGGAATGTTTTACAGTATGGCATTTAAACTTTCTATCATCATGAAGACCAAACCAGACCAAGTTAGTGGTCAGATCTGTGGAGACGCATCAGAAGTCTGTTTTTTCTAGGTATTTTTGAGCTCTAAACCCACCTGTAATTAATAATACTATAATAATACTTATAATACTATCAGTTTATTACACCATGTGATCTTGCCCTGGTTCTGATAAAACTCAAGATGAAACTGTAGAACAAAGGTAAAATTTTAACCAGTTGGTTATTTTTTCAGTATTAATACTTGCTTAAAGGTACATTGCGCAACGTTTCTGGTGGAGGGACGGTCAAATGCTTTTTTTTTTTTTTTTATCTAGATGTTATTGCTTTGTCTGGAATGTTTCACAGTATGGCATTAAACCCGATCAACTTACAGGTCAGATCTGTGGAGAGGCGACCCTGCTCACAGTCAGAATGGTGTTTTTGAATGATAAAAGCAGTTGTAGTTTAATAAATGTAAGGTAGAGCTGTTTAATGTCACACTGTGGAACATTCAAAGCAGAGCAATGACGTATCCATAGAAACATGAAGGTGACGGACCCCCAACGGAAAAGTTACACAGTGCACCTTTTTAAATGTCTGCGTGAGCCAGTCCATACACTATAGCAGCTATTCTGTGATGATAATAATAACAGTGTCTAACTTGGCTCTCCTCTCTCTCTCTCCCCTTTTCTCTGTGTCTGTTTTTCAGGAGAGGTGTTCGACTACCTGGTGGCTCACGGCAGAATGAAGGAGAAGGAGGCCAGGGCCAAATTTAGACAGGTACAGCTCCCACGCTATAGAATTTTGCTGTCTTAAAAACATGAAAACAGAACTAGTTCATCTTAAACAGTTCGCAGCTATTCTTCACTTTCTTCCTACTCACACTACTCACCGTGATGAGTTTATATGCACTTTCACAACACTCACAGGACAGAGCAGAGTCGTCATTCCACTGCTTACAATGACTAGCATGCTAACAACGCACTCCCAGTTTCCCTACAGGGAATAAATCTAACCTTACCATAACCCTACCTAAACTGATCTTCCCAGTTAGCAGAAGAAATTCAGTTTTTGAATCAAAATTCAAAATTGGGGCATGTCAAGTGTGGGAGATTGGTATAAAGAAAAAAATGAAAAGAGTGTAACATGTTCCTGTCTCACTCACCTGTGGGTCAGTATAAGGGAGGGACTTGTGTTGGTGCACAGATTAAGCATGTTTTTCTGTATTTTAGCTAAATAAATGACAATATAGTCCCTTCTTTGCTGTTGGCGAGTATCAAATTGGTCAGAAATAGGGACACCTGGGACACATTTTGTATCAAACTGAGACAAATCAGTGGTTTTGTATACATCTGCTGGGACAGAGCACACACACTCAAACCTGGGACTGTCCTGGGTAAATAGGGGTGACTGGTCACCTAGACCTGCACGCAGCACTTTGACCCTAAGAGCTGCACTGTATTTTCTGATGGAAGGGGCTGCCTTGTGCTTGTGGTGATGTTATTGCTTTGCCTGTGATGTTCCACAGTATGGCATTAAACAAATAACTTGTATTTATTCAATTACAAATGTTTTTATTTCTCAAAACTCCTGTAAAACATGCATTATTTCTGTGAAAGGGTCCACTTCTCCACAGATCTGACCTATAACTTGGACTAGTGATGTGGTCTGCTTATTGCCATGGAGATAGTCACATTAAATGCCATATTGTAGATTATTTCAGGAAAAAACAACATGGAGACAAGCAGGTGGCGGACCCCCTACCAGAAAAGTTACACAGTGCACCTTTGACTATGGACAATCCACAATGTAACTGCATTGTAATTGTAGATTTTTTGTCTATTTTTAGTTGGCTGTAACATCTAAATCCTAATTGTTTTAGTGAATCATAAATGAGTTTTGTAATGGGACATGTCCAGACGTGTTGTTGGACGGTGAGTTGGTTTGTGGTCTGGTGGTTTGAGACTCTACATTGGTCATAGTTTGTCATCACAAATACTTTTTATTTAGCTTTGTGTCAGCAAAAATAACTGCCAAAACCATGACAAAATATTTTCACTGCTAAAATGAATACGGTGAGTTATTACAGTTATTTAAATCCTATTATTGTAGTATTGGACGGTGCTGGAGCTGGTGGTTCCTCTTTAGTCTGAGCTGAGCAGTAGAAGTCACACAAGTAAATATTGACTTTAGATTCTTAAACGTCGTGAAACATTAACCCTTCACTCGCTCCTTCCTCTTTTCACTTCTTCATTTTGTTACACTTTTACTGTCTAAGCTGCAAAAACAGAATAATTAGTCTTTTAAAAATGTTTGTTATTTGAATCTTGATGTGAGAAGTTGTAGTAGAGATATATTTAGTTCTTGCATTTTTAACTTCTGTTAGGTATTTCTGGCTGAGTTCAAAGCTTTTTTTAAATAGCTTAATTTCTTTGATTTGATTAAAGGTGCACTATGAAACTTTTTGGGCCATTACGTGCTTGTTTCTATGGATACGTCATTGCTCTGCTTGGAATGTTCCACAGTGTGACTTTAAACAGTTGTACCTTACATTTATCCAGTTGTGTGTGGTTTTATAGCTCGGAAATACCTAGAAAAACAGGCAGATCTGACCCGTAACGTGGTCTGATTTGGTCCCCATGAGGATAGAAAGGTTTAATGCCATACTGTGGAACATTCCAGATAATGCAAAAACATCTCCATGGAGAAAAGCATTTGATGGACCCTTCACCAGGAAAGTTACACAATACACCTTTAAAGAAAGAAATGTGATGTGAGTTGAATACTGTTACCCAGAAAAATCAAGTGGAAAATACAACTTTTAAAATAAATTTCCGAACTTATGATTCACAAATGTTGAAACTTCTCATTATTTGTTTGGGATCAGCCCCATAAACTTGTCCTTTTAATGTCATGGGTTAAAGTCCTTTCTGCTGACAACACTCACGTCTTTGGAATTAAATAACAGCACCACTTTCTGAAGCTGTTGTGAAAAAAATGATTTAACTTTTGTTTATTTATACCGACATAGAAGACATTGAACTTTTTGTTTCATGTGGATAGGTCCAGTAATTACAGAGATATAAACTGTAAACCAGGTCAACAAATCTGCATCCGACAGTTCCACAGTGAACTCCACCTGAGAACTCTGACCTGTCTCCAGCTCAGTTTAACTATAAGGAGGACTCCACCGTGTGCTGATGTCATGTGAGCACAATCCATTGTACTGTGAAGCTGCGTGACGTGTTCAAGTGTTTAAACCAAAGAAAACCGACCCTGAGGCTGCAGAGGCTCTGGTCAAACACAAACTGGAAAAACAAGATGTTATGTAAACCTGGAGGAGTTTGGAGCAGAAAGAAGTTTTATGTCACCAGTAGAAACTCGTGTTGTCATGATACTAAAAGTTCAAACTCAATTTCAATACTAAAGAATAGACTCAATACAGATTTTGAGGATTTTAAAAGCTCTTTTTAAGACAATATTGTAATTTTCAACAATAAATAATACTATCAGTTTATTACACCATGTGATCTTGCACTGGTTCTGATAAAACTCAAGATGAAACCGTAGAACAAAGGTAAAATTTTATCCAGTTGGTTATTTTTTCAGTATTAATACTTGCTTAAAGGTACATTGCGCAACGTTTCTGGTGGAGGGATGGTCAAATGCTTTTTTTTTTTTTTTTTTTTTTTTTTTTTAATGGAGATGTTATTGCTTTGTCTGGAATGTTTCACAGTATGGCATTAAACCCGATCAACTTACAGGTCAGATCTGTGGAGAGGCGACCCTGCTCACAGTCAGAATGGTGTTTTTGAATGATAAAAGCAGTTGTAGTTTAATAAATGTAAGGTAGAGCTGTTTAATGTCACACTGTGGAACATTCAAAGCAGAGCAATGACGTATCCATTGAGAAAAGCGTTTGACAGATCCTCCACCAGAAAAATTGCGTGTTGCACCTTTTAAATGAGTGTCTATTTTGGATACTACTGTGGTTTTATTATCAGTTAGTGTCTGTTTTTTGATACCTTTGACAACCCAACCCCAAAAGAGACAGACAGGTTTCAGTTTCAGTTCTAGTTTTAAGTGACACGACTTGGAAGTGCAGCTAAACTTTGTGAATCGATAAATAAAACAAAAACGAATTCATCACAAGTCTGAAAACATACTAAATACAGTAAAACATTGAATGAAAGGTTAACACCCTCTGGAACTGTCTCCCCGTTCACATCAGAAACTCCAACTCAGTAAACGCCTTCAAAAAACTGCTCAAGACACACCTTTTCCTCACAACCTTTTTTTAGCGTTACTTTATTGTGAAGCGTCTTTGTGCTACTGTGAAAAGCGATGTATAAAACCTACGTATTATAACAACATTTTAGTATCTTCAGTGGCAAAGCTGTTCATAATGACCTGTGCGTTTTGTCCATTTAACTTGACATAGACCTGTGAATGAATAGTTATTCCAGAGGACGTGTTATGCAGAATCAATCTTGTTCTACCATCTTTCTATTTAACATTGTTCCCTCAGTTGAAGAGGTTTTAGATCCATGCATGTATGAGTAATTTAGCAATCTCTTAGCTGTAAGATTCTGTCCAATGCCCCGCCCACAAACTCCCACTCGACAATTTTCCATAATGACCTTATTATGTTACGGTTGTTGTTAGCAGCCCTCTTTATTATTACAATATTTTTTTTTGGAACTTGCTTTTATTAAACAGTTTTTAGTGCAAGCCACATATAATTATGAAACAGCAGTAAAAATACAATAAAAGTAAAATGACATGAAGCAAAGTACTGTTCATAATAATACCCATAAACTCACACAAAAATACCTCTATAAAAAAGATTTGAAACATTTTAGTCTTTATCTTAATAATGTTTTCCTCCGGCCTAAACTTGATATGTAATAGTTGAAAAGCAGACCTGGTTGTGTTGTCTCTTGAGTTGTATTCGATTGCATTGTAGCTGCGTTTGTGTAAATTCTGTGGGAGTTGAGTTTCTGTTGTTTCGTTTGTGCCTTTTGTCAAACTTCAGAGCCGACCACAACTCGCCTTCTTCTTCACCACATCCTCTGCCTCCATCTGTGAACTCAAGGAAATAATATAAACACTTTCTCTCCCTCCCTCTCCGTCTCTCCCCCACCCTCCTCTCACTTTTCTCACTCTGTCTGTCTAACCCCTCCCTCCCTCTCTACTCTACTCACCCCTCCACCTCACTCTCACTCTCTCTCCCTTCTCTCCTCTTCCATTCCTCTACCTTTCTCGCTCTTTCTGTCTGTTTGTCTCTCTGTACTCCACCCACCCCTCCGTCCCACTCGCTGTCTGTCTCACTGTCACCTCTCCCTCTCTCCCTTTCTCTCTGTTTTTCTTATCTCTTCTTCCCCTCCATCTGTCCCTTTTCTCTGTCTGCTTCTTCCTCTCTCTCTCTCCCCCTATCTCCCTTTCTCTCACTTTTTATTTTTCTTACATCTCTTTCCTCTTTCTCTATCTGCCTCTCCCTCTGTCTCACTATCTTCTGTCTTACCTCTCTCCTCTCCCTCTCTGTTCTTCATATCGCTCCTTCCCCTCCATCCCTTTCCTCCTTTTGTCTGCCTCTCCCCTCCTCCCTTTTCTCACACTATCCTCTGTCTTACTTCTCTCCTCTCCCCCTCCTCTCTGTTCTTCTTATATCGCTGCTTGCCGTTCATCTCTTTCCTCGTTCTGTGTCTGCCTCTCCCTCTCCCTTTCTCACACTATCTTCTGTCTTACCTCTCTCCTCCCTCCCTCCCTCCCTCCCTCGCTCCTCTTCCTCGCGCTCCCCCTCCCTTCCTCTCTTTCTCTCTTTTATAGATTGTATCAGCGGTGCAGTACTGCCACCAGAAGCACATTGTTCACAGAGACCTCAAGGTGAGACACATGAAACACAATACTTGGAAAACACTGAGCGGTGCATAGACACAAGCACAGGTTTAAAATGTGACCTTATTATGGCACTGTTTTACCACTGCACCATTTGACTCCCAAAAAATAATGAAAATACAATGAATTAATCCTTACAACCTCTTTTATATAACTGAAATATATTTGTATTACTATGTTTCTGTTTTGTTGTTAAATTACATTTACATTTGTATAGTTCTGCCTTATTTGACACCAGTCTCTTGCTATTTTTGCTATTTATTTTGAATTTTATATTTATATTTTTACTCGTTCTTATTATAATATATTGATATGTGAGCTACTGTGTCCAAACAGTTACCCTTGTGGATCAATAAAGTCTAAGTGTCTAAATTTGCTATCATGACACAGAGTTGGGGTTATTTTGTAGTATAATTCCAACACATCTTTGCTTGGTTGTTCCCCTCCCGTCCCGCAGGCGGAGAACCTCCTCCTGGACGCCGACATGAACATAAAGATCGCAGACTTTGGCTTCAGCAACGAGTTCACGATGGGGAACAAACTGGACACGTTCTGTGGCTCCCCTCCGTACGCCGCTCCCGAACTGTTCCAGGGAAAGAAGTACGACGGGCCCGAGGTGGACGTGTGGAGTCTGGGGGTGATCCTCTACACGCTCGTCAGCGGGTCACTGCCTTTCGACGGACAGAACCTCAAGGTACAAACACACTGCACCACAGGGAGGGGAGGGGCTAAAGCTGAAGCTAAAATCACAATCAAATATTTTTCTAAAATTATTCAACCCTAGACTGAAAAAATACTGTACCAGTGAAGAAGAAGAGGGCTAAATCAGAAATATTATGGACCAGATTTTTCACATTGGCCAAAAGCTTAAAGGTCAATTTTTTTTGGTTGGGGGTCCGTCACCTGCTTCTTTCCATGGGTTTGTCATTGCTGTGCCTGGAAAGTTCCACAGTTTGACTTTAAACAGCTCTACCTTACATTTATTCCATTACAAGTGGTTTTTATAGCTCAGAAATACCTAGAAAAACAGACATTTAGACTGTGAGCAGTGTCGCCTCTCCACACATCTGACCTGTAACTTGGTCTTGTTTGGTCTCCATGGAGATAGACTCCACTATAAAAGGTAAACAGTGCACCTGTTAAAGTGGAATCAAACAACTAAACTCTGCCCACAACCACATTTCAAACAGAGCTGCAGCAGTACTGATGAGCTAAAGGGGAAGGTGATGAGGGAGGAGGGGCGGGGTCTGGAGTTATAAGGAACAGTGTGATTGGTCTAACTGGTGTCCATACTTCAAACTCCATCCTTGCAGCGAAGACAGTTCTGCATGATGTCACATAGTACTTGAAAGTGTAGTGGCCACTGAAGGCAGCACACACTTAAAGCTGCAAATGTACCTAGATAGATGGATTTTATTTGCACATATCTTAAAACAACATTTTGAACAGATAAAGAGAAATAATCTGTGCAGTACATGAAAGTTTTCAAATACACATATTTATACATGAACAGACGAATACAATATATGTTTACATTAAATATTGCCACAATCTTGTATTTTCTGAACATAGGAGCAGATGAGGACAATCTGTGTGAATAATTCATAATTGTTAAAAAAAAAATATATTTTGTATTAATAAAATCTTATTGAGATATGTCTTAAATGTAGAACCCCAAACCATGTTACAATACATGATGTAAGGATAGATTAAACTATAAAATAATGTCATCATGCATGAAACATTGATACAGGAGCCAACTTTACTCAAAATACCAATGGATTTCATCATTTTTCTACAAACATGTTGGGTATGATATTTCCAGGTTAGTTTTTGATCAACAATCACCCCCAAAAACTTAGTTTGAACAACTTGGCTAATTTTGATACCATCAACAGATAGTGTCACATCTTGACTACATGTATTATTTTTTGTACTGAAAATCATAAAATTTGTCTTTTGTATATTGAGAGACAGTTGATTTGTTTTAAACTACTCACAAATGATTGATAATTCCTCATTTGCTTCTCTCATCAGACCACTTAGATTGAGATAGATGTGTCATCTGCAAACATGAGGGGCAGCACTTTGTAAAAAACATTTTTAGATCATTAATATAAATTATGAATAACAGAGGTCCTAAAATGGAGCCCTGTGGTGTATTAATCGTCCTAGTGCCATTAATACACCATGTACACAGTTTAGTAGAGAGATTTTGTAATTGCAGCCATTCTGATTACAATGACACTTTGACTCACCCTAAACGACTTATTGTCCCTTTGTTTACCTCTGCATCCATGGTAACCTCTCATATATGTGTGTGTGTGCAGGAGCTTCGCGAGCGCGTGCTGAGGGGCAAATACAGGATCCCTTTTTACATGTCCACAGACTGTGAGAACCTCCTGAAGCGCTTCCTGGTGCTGAACCCGGGCAAACGGGGCACTCTCGAGGTGAGGGAGGACGCCCAAAATGTAAATATACAATGCTTTTCTACATTTAAACCGCACCGTACCAGCATGACGTGTCCACTGGGGGCGCTGTCTGTCCTCACTCCACATGTCCTCTCACTGTCTCTTTAAGTCTACTCTTTGGTTTGATGATTTGAATTATTAATTTGTCATGTGTTTATGTTTGGTTCGAATTGTGACTGGATAGTGGGTACTTTTACATGGCCAGGAAAATCAGATAACTAGAGTAATCCAATAACCCAATCATTAGATGAGATTTTGGTGTGTTTACAGCACAAGAGAAATCTGATCATCAAAACACCCGGTGACGCATGTCAGTGATTCAGTGGAGAAAACAAAGTACAATGACTTTCATTTTTAATAATTGCCCTTTCATTTTTGTCTTTACCACATTAGTTTGTCCTATTTTGGCGTATTTTTCTTGTCAAAATATGCACAGGTGTGAACAGTCAGAGAGAAATCTGTTTGCAGGTACAATCCGATTATGATCAGATTTCAGTGTGCATGTAAACAAAGTCGGTGTAGTGTGTCTTTAATTTTATTTCCACTATTTGACCTGATTATTTCAATCATGAATCCACTGAAGCTTAACCCAAGTCAGGAACAACAATAATGGGATTTGAACAGATTTAGCAGAGTACAAGTCAGTACCTCAGGAGTCTTTTTAAGTAGTTTGGACTCTTTTCAAGTTAATAAAAGATGCTCTTTTTAAAGCAATATCATCTCCATGGAGACAAGCAGGTTATGAAATGTTGTAAAGTGCACCTTTTAAAATTGCAATAAGACAATAAATCCAACAGGGAAGTTTTGGTTTTAGTTTTGTTTTCATGTTTGATACTCATTTCAGTAGAAATTATAGGCTGTGTATATAAACAGACATGGCTAACCCACTAGCTGCCATGTTCCAAATAGGAAGTGAGCATGGGTCGACCCCAGCTCCAATTCTTTTTTTATTGAAAAACTGTCGCCCCTCTCTTTGTAACTGCTGCTGTCAGGCTCCTCATTTTGGTCTTAAAACGTTCCTATTAATCCGCTCTACATGATCATTTTATTTTGCTTTTTTGACTGTAAATAAATTCTTATTCCTTATATACAATTTCTTTATGCACCTCAGCTCCAAATGTGCCTCTATAGCTCCTAGTTTCTGTGAGCTTCATTTGACTGGAGCCGCACTCCCCTAGTTCTTTACAGTCTATGATTTCATTTAGTATTTGAGTATGATTCGTCAACCAACCCTACTTGAAATAAATATATTGCTATACATTAACTATGCTATATGCTGCCATCGCTCCAGTCCTATTTTTGTCTCTAATTCACTTAAAGCGACGGTGACATCAGCACAGCATACTTACTGACTTACAGGAAGCCCCTCTCTGCATTATAACAGAGTTAGTTTTTACTGGATTAAACCTCCTGTGTTCAGTCACATGTTTGGACCTGAGCTTTGGGTCGAACTCTCTGTGAAACGTTACATCAGAGGTCACACACTGATAATTAATTTGGCTCAGGTTCATCAGAAAAGATCAATCTGTACTGAAATCCAAATGGAGCAAACAGACTGCAGGGCGTTCAGTGAGAGGGGGAGGACAGAGGCACCAAAAGAATGGATCAAACTAACACAAGCTTAAATTCAGTCTTATATAAGAATCTGGTGATTGTTTAATATATATAATCTGTCACTCTTAAAGTTAGTATGGAACTTTTCTGGTGGTTTTCTGTTATTCCTTTGTCTGGGATGTTCCACAGTATGGCATTAAACTAATCTACCTTGCATTTATTAAATTACTAGTGTTCCTATTGAATAAAATACCTTGCATAATATGCTTTCTAAATGAGAAAGAGCTCGCCTCTTCACAGATTTGACCTGTAACAGTGTCACCTGCTTGTCTCCGTAGAGATTGGCCATTTGGTGCCATAATAAACGAGCAATAATTTCTCCATAAAGACTAACAAGTGATGAACACTCAATCTGAAACGTTACATAATGTTTCTTTAATGAAAACACTAAAGGTTCAGGGCTTTTTTAAATAAATAAAAACAAAACACAGTTTGTCTCTACACAGTCTCACAAATAAAAATGTCCCCTGAGATTTGGCTGTAGTTACATTCCTACTGTTTCTGCATGAATCCTCGTCTGTGAAAGTTTTATTACTGCAGAATTGTATTGTGTAAAACAGAGTTGGTTTGTTTTTAATTAGGTTTTTGTTTTGCAGCAAATCATGAAGGACCGATGGATAAACTCTGGGTTTGAGGACGATGAGCTGAAGCCTTACACTGAGCCGGAGCTGGACATCACAGACCAGAAGAGGATAGGTAAACACACTCTGCACAATACAGATCTTTGTTTAAATGATCATTTGTTATTATACTGGTCTTAAGCTTAGCTACAAGTAGCTTATAGTTTTGATGTTCAAACGTAGAAACTTCTTTACGTCAATCATACAATCCGTTTGAAAGTTAGATCTTCAAAAATATTGAAAGGCACAGTATGCAAATTTTAAGAAAAAAATATACTCAAATAAAATCATGTTTTTTTCATTTTGATTGTTTATTTCTCTGAAAAGAATAATACGCATTCTTACTCTGAGCAGGCTTGCATCTCCACAATCCTGACTCTTACATGGCCTGGGCCTTCTTCTGCTTGTTTCCATCAAAATCTTGTTACTTTGACTTTAATATTCCATAGTATGACGTACAACTTATCCATCTCCATGGAGAATGTTTTATCTTTCCGTTTTCATGGAAACAGGCAGATGACAGAAAGTTCCATACTATCGCTTTTAAAGATGATATTTTTGTAAAAACACTAAAAGATGAATTGTCCAAGTAAATAAGCTACAGTTTGAGCTTGTATTGTCTTGTTGAATATTGTATATGTGTGTACCCCTTGTATGAACCTCCTGTTATGAGAATCCGGGGTAGACTCTGCTGCTAATGATCTCGCTCTGGTCCAGAAAAGATGAAAAGTCGTGTTGAATAAATGATGAGACCCGAGGAGCACGAGGCGTTACGTAACACTGTGGACTTTTATCTGAGAGGAATCCTCACAAATAAATAATGCAGAAGAGACACGCACATGAGAGTTTGAGTATGAAGAGATCTCATTTGGTTTGGTTTAGTTTCGCCTACATCACATTTTTGTAAGAGTCAATTTTAAAGGTGCACTATGTAACTTTTTACAGGCGAAGTACGTCACCAGGGCATGTTACAGGACAGATCTGTGCAGAGGCGATCCTGCTCACAACCAGAATACAGTTTTTTTTGTTTTTTTTTTATGTTTGGCATTAAAACACACATAATGAAACAAACGCTAGATGGATGTGTTTGTTGTTTCACTGTGGAACATTCAAGGCAAACAATAACATCTCCATGGAAACAAGAGAGTGCCCACCAGAATCTGACTCATGTTATAATCTGGTTACCTCATCAAAAACAGACCTGGAGTTGTGTTTTTTTTTTCATTCACACATGTTTGAGTAGCCCGTTATTGTTAGTCTGTCTACATCTCCAAAGCTCAAAATGCTCTGCTCCACCCGGTGGTGTCATGAAGTGGTTGTTTTCAAGTTAATAGCTACCATTTTAACTTTACTTCAGTGGAGATTGGCAATTTCAGATCTGAAATCATCCAAATGATTCTAGTCAAGATGGAGCACTTCCTCTATTACCACATGACATCACAAGGTGGAACTGAGTGTGTGTGAGTTTGAGCCTGAATATGCAGAAGTTTAGTGTTTTAACATGTGTGAATGAAACAAAACAAAACACAACTTCAGGTCTGTTTGTGATGATAAAACAACATTATAGCACACATCAGAAAATACTGTAGTATGGGCCCTTTAATTAGAAATATTCCAAGCTGATTATTGATCCTGAGAAATGACTGAGCCTTGATCTTGATTAAAATTTGATGAATCACACTACCCTGCTCCAAATGATTCAATTTTAAATCACAGCTTGCACATTTGAATTTGTTTGTGGTTTTTAAGTATCTATTTCGGAAGGCTTGCCAATACAAAGCAATATTGGGCAAAGTGTTATGATGCAACCACTTCTGTATAAAATGCATTTCTGAGTCTTCTTTTTTCTTCAGTTTTAGTGTGTAAATGTAAAACATTGATGATTTCGTGATGTGTGGTGTAAAGGGTTTGAGGCGTGAGGTGGTGGCGGGGGAGGGGCTGTTTCTTTAATGCGTTTTACCACAGAGAGATACAGAGGTAGATTTATGATGGAGGGAAAACAGAGCTTCTCCAGACACTTTACCCGGCGACAAGCAACCACCGGCGACCAATCAGACGAGAGCGTGCCGGACGTCCACTCTCCTCTCGCCCAATCATCCGCGTCCTCAGGCGATCGATGGCGCTGAGGGGGTTACCTGGGGATTTATGACGTGTTATATCATTGTACTCAGGCTGGGTTTCCCAATGAAGGCCAAATGTGCTGAGCGAGGTGAAACCAGAGGACGGAAAATAGAAGAAAAATACAATAGAAATCGAAATTGCAATTTGAATGGAAGCAATGAGCAAATCGCAAAGGCTGCAGTTTTTGAAGTACTATAATTTCCACCACAAACAACTAAATCTTTTTCTGCATAAAAAAACTGCTAACCCTGTAGTTTAGATCAGTCCAAGAATGAAGTGTTTACTAGTTTCTCAGTTCATATTTCACTCTTTATCAGTTTTTCTGGTCTTGTTAAATGTGAACTTTGAACAGAATCCTGCTAATGAAAACATAAATCACAATCACAATTACATATTTTTCCCAAATCGTTCAGCCTTAATGTATTGCCATGTGGAAATTAAACTCTTTGTCAAGGTAATCCATGTTACACTAAGGCCAGACACGGGAAACCCTCATTATAAAAAAGAATTTACCGTAATAACTGACCCAGAAAAGTTGAGAAACATTTAAAAGAAGAATAAAAACATAATTTCACTTGAACATTTTCTTTTTTGATTTTGAAATGATTCAGAAGTGATTGTTGTGGGGGGTTTATGTGAATTGCTGTTATACCTCATGGAGCATTTATTAGTTGTCATGGATACAGCTCCCCTAGATTAAAATGGAGATACTTTGCTCAGCGGTGATGTCCTGAATTGAAGGCATCGCATGACGAACAGACGCACTTCAGCCTGTTATTGCATCATAGCCACAGCACTGTTTAGTTTGAGAGCTTTATGCATTTGTGGTCAGGGAAGATGTCTGTACGTTTCTCTCAACTGGATTTAACTAAAGTGTGATTTTTCGTCTAGTTCCACTGTTGTGACGCTTTGACCAATCAGATTCAAATAGCTGCCTCTGTGTTTTCCGATCTCTTTCAGTGAGAGCTGTTCCAGATTGATAATGTGTAGAACTCATTTCAAAGTGACACTCATATCAATCTGGTGTGAGCCTGGTTATTACTTTCCGGCCTCCCTCCTTAAAACAATGTTTAAAACAAAAGCTTTAAGAGTTCTTTCTTGTTTGTGTTGCAGATGTGATGGTGGGGATGGGTTATAATCTGGATGAGATCCAGGAGTCTTTGGCCAAAATGAAGTATGACGAGATCACTGCCACGTACCTGCTGCTGGGGAGGAAGGCCTCAGAGGTGGGATCACTGCTCCTCTTCACCAGCGTTCTCATCTTCTGTTTCTCATTATGTTCATTACCTCTGTGTTCCTGTAGATGGAGTCGGCAGAGTCGGCCTCCAGCAGTAACCTGAATCTGGCCAAACCTCGACCGAACAGTGAACTCAACGGACAGTCTCCGACTCACCTCAAAGTCCAGAGGAGCGCTTCATCCAACCACAAGCAGAGAAGATACAGCGAGCAAGGTACTGCACCAAGAACACGGAAAAACAGAAAATAAAGATAGCCTAGCCAGACCTAGGAGACCGAGGAGAACTGTCACCTGGACACTGGACTGTTGGAGTGTTTCATAATGGCTTCATCAGTTCTTTTTCTTTTAACAAAATTGAATTTTCTTTTGCTATGAGACGTACCTAGATGACGGATTACACAGACAAAATTACCTGTAAGTGTGCAGTTTCTGAAATGCTCAGATCAATCCATGCCACTTCCTTTTCCTTTGGACTACTAGGACTAGCCTAATGTAAGATTCCCTTTAGGGTGGAAGTGGATAATCAGATTAATAGTGGTCCGTGCACTGGTCACTGAATCACTCAGTGCTCAAAGACTCAAACACGTGAAAATGTTTAGTGTTATTTTGACTGAAGCGATGTGACCTAAAACACAAATTAATTGATACAATAACCGTAGCTCAGACCTTTTTACAACAGTACAGTCTGTTTACAAGTATGTGAATAATCTCATTAAATTCACAGTACAGTATAGTAATCAATAATAATAATATAGTACATTTATAAATAGTATATTAAAATCAAATATCAATACTCTTAGCAGTATTACTTTGTTGAAATGGACCTGACCTCCTTTGGTCCTTGTCTGTGTCTCTGTGTTTAAGTTTGACTTTGGTTAAATGTTACTCAGGAGCAGCGTTGGTTTATTTACTTTGCTTTGTCCTCTGATGTAACACAGAGTCGATACCTGCTCCTCTGACTCTGACTCTGACGCACAGAGGACACAGCACCTGATTGTCTCTATGGAGATATTATTATTGCTTTGCATAATATGGAACATTTTAAGCAAAACAGCAGCTTTAAATACTAATTGAAAGTCATCAGCTCTAATAACCCACTAGAGGTGGTGCTTTTTCTGCATTAAGTTGAAACCTTTGCAGTAGTTAGTAGGAAGTCTTTGTTGGAGAAAATTTAAAAGAAGGAAAATAAAAACATTTCAATTAAAATAGTGTCAGCATAGTTTTTCAGACAGGTGCACTAACTCGTATAATCCTGCTCCTCTTCCAGTCGGTCAGAACGTGCCGGGGATGACCCACCCCAAACGCTCCCAAACCACCACGGCAGAAAACAGCTCCAAAGACGAGGGGAGTGTCCAGCTGCGCAAACCAAACACCCCCCGAGCCCAGCCCACCAGCCCCATCCTCGGAAACGCCAACAACCCCAACAAGGCCGATATCCCAGACCGGAGGAAAGGAGCCACCACCGGGACCACTGTGAGTACTACAGCCCCGGAGCAAGGAGGGTGTGGGTTTGACTCTCTGTGTGACTGGCAGAGTGGTTAGCCTGTCTCCCTGCTCTCACCATGAGGTTATGGGTTAGATCTCTGTGTTCCTGCAGCAGAGTGGTTGTGGGTTTTTTTAGTTCCTCTTTTCTCTCTCTGTGCAGAATAACTCAGCGTCTGCGGGGATGACCAGGAGAAACACATACGTCTGCAGCGACAGGAACAACACGGATCGACTCTCTGTGATTCCGAACGGGAAAGAAAACAGGTGAGACTCGACCTGTTTTAAACTCAAAACTTCAGCACAAACAACTGGGGCATTTTCACAGGGAAACACTACAGAACACAGTCTGCAATGCACCAGCACGGAACACTCAAAATTACCTATAAATCGTACAGCGCAGATTAAAGCAGCCGGGGAGCAGGTGTGAAAATGTCACAACTAATTTACAACCAGGATTCAATTACAAACGACCCCTCGCTGTAATTTTTCTGTTTGTGTGATTTCTAACAGCTGTGGACCATACACATATACTGTACACATATAAAGATATGGAGCGAAACTTTTAAGTCCCATCATATTCACCTTTTTTTAGATGGTCTGTACTTGGAAATAAAAAATATTGTTGAAGATATACCGTATTTTCCAGGCTATTAGGCACGCTCTTAAGCCTCCAACCCCATAAAAAAACGACCGCGTGCCCCACAATCCAGAGCGCCCTATACATGAATCCACTCATCCAGACTTCAGTAAACTACAAAGCCACACCACCCACAGAACACACACGCACACGGAGCAGACAGCGACCACACAGCAACAAAGACCCACAGACACACTCATCACTCCACGCCGACGAGGAACGGAACGGAGGAGCAAACCGAAAAAGCGAGTGCAATGTGCCACTTCTAGACACAACTGAACAACTGAGTCACTGTGAACACACCGACAATCCGTTGGTCCCAGACACACCCTCCCTACACGCCACAACTGAACAAAGCCCAGAGTCACCGTGAACGAACAAACAATGTCCCACTGACCCATCCAACTGTTGGGTTTCATTTAAAGTCTGGTGTGGTTTATTTGTGAAAAAATTTCGAAACTAGACCATTTAATGACAGTGCGTCTTATAATCCAGAGCACCTAATAGTCCGGAAAATATGGTAATATATAAGAGAACTTGGAAAGACATTTTGTTTTTGTTTAAAACTTAACAAACTAGCTGATAGTTTTGTAGTTTTGTGTTTTAATTTTGCAGTTGATTCAAATGATTTTCAAATGATATGCCAATCCAACAGAATGTTTTTACATCTGTTAGTTGAGGTTCAAAGGTATAACTATGTAACTTTTCTAGTGGAGGGTCCATCAAATGCTTTTCTCTGTCACTGTCACTGTCACTGCTCTGCCTGAAATGTTCCACAGTATGACATTAAACAGCTCTACTATTTACATTTACATTTATTCAGCTACAAGTGGTTTTACAGCTCAAAAATACCTTGAAAAACAGACATTCTGACTGTGAGCATCTGCACAGATCTGACCTGTAACGTAGTCTGGTTTGGTCTCCATGAAGATAGAAAGGTTTAATGCCATACTGTGAAACTTTCCAGACAAAGCAATAACATCTCCACTGACAGTTTTCGACAGACCCCCACCAGAAAAGTTACACAATGCAGCTTTAAGTATCAGACAAGTGTGAAATTGTGAAAATGCTGAAAATGACTTAATGCACTTATTTGGAACAGACTTTTTCTCATTTATTTTTAATCAGATTTTTTGACATTTTGAGTCATTTTTATTATAAGCTATTTACTTGATTGTCAAATTTTGATAACCTTAAAAAATATTCATGTTATCATCAAATAGGTTCCATATCTTGCCCACCTCCAGCTGGAACACTCTGGACAATGTGCATTTAAAGACAAAAGCTACAAAAACTGAAACAAAAAAACAAAACAAAAAAAACAGCTGTAGTTCCTCTTGAGAATTTCTCCAATTTTACTTTTTGATTCCTCTTTACTTTAAAATCCTTCTTCTTTTTTTTTTTTCAAATGTATTTCACTTTTATTTTATTATTTTTCTTCCTCCTTCACTCCTTTTTTCCCCTTCTCTCTCTGCTTCTCCTCTCTCTGTCTCTCTGTTTCTGTCTCTCTCTGTCCCTCTCTGTTTTTGTCTGTCTGTCTCTCTCTGTTTCTTTCTCTCTCTGTCTCTCTCTGTCTCTCTCTGTCTCTCTCTGTCTCTCTGTCTCTCTCTGTCTCTCTGTCTCTCTCTGTCTCTCTCTGTCTCTCTGTCTTCTCTCTGTTTCTGTCTCTCTCTGTTTCTGTCTCTCTGTCTCTCTGTTTCGGTCTCTCTCTGTCTCTCTCTCTGTTTCTGTCTCTCTCTGTCTCTGTTTCTGTCTCTCTGTCTCTGTTTGTGTCTCTCCGTCTCTGTTTCTGTCTGTTTCTGTCTCTCTGTCTCTGTTTCTGTCTCTTTGTCTCTGTTTCTGTCTCTCTCTGTCTCTCTGTCTCTGTTTCTGTCTCTCTGTCTCTGTTTCTGTCTCTCTGTCTCTGTTTGTGTCTCTCCGTCTCTGTCTCTCTGTTTCTGTCTCTCTGTCTCTGTTTCTGTCTCTTTGTCTCTGTTTCTGTCTCTCTACGTTTCTGTCTCTGTTTCTGTCTCTCTGTTTCCGTCTCTGTCTCTCTGTTTCCGTCTCTGTCTCCATCTCTCTCTTTCTATGTTTCTCTCCTTCTCTCTCCTTGTCTCATCTCTCGCTCTCTGTCTCTGTCTCTCGCTTTCTCTCCATTCTCCCGGTTGTTTTCATATATTTCCCCTCGTCATGAGCAGCATGTATGAGGTGGCCCATAGTCCGTCCTTCTCCACAGCTCTGGGTTCTGGTTCTGGTTCTGTTCGTCTGAAATACAGGAACTCCGCTCTGCCTCACTCCTACTACGGCCTGGACTACTACAGCCCGAAGTAAGACCGAACCGGGATTAGACCAGGGACTTGACCGGGACTAAACCGGGACCTAAAAGACCACCTTGAAAGACCCTGATCTGGACCCGGGCCTCTCCTCCGTCTGTGTCTGTGAACGTCGTGATATGCACTTCTCCGAAATCTCTGCGTTCAATCCACTGTCCCAAAAGTCAAATGTGTTTGTGTTCATTTTGTTTTATTCCAACAATTTAATCCAATATGCCCTTTTCTCTCTCTCTCCCCATCTCTTCCCCTCTATCGCTTTCTTTATCCCTCTTTCTCTTCTGTTCTTTTTCTGCCTCTCTCCCCTCCTCACACCCCGTCCATTTCCCTCTTCTTTTCTCCCTTTCTCTCCTCACCTCCTCCTCTCCTCTATCCTCCCTTTCTTTCCTCTCTCTCCCTCTTCCACCTTTCACCCCATCTCTCTTCCTTAACTTATTTCCTTCCTTTCTTCCCTCTCTCTCCCTCTTCTTCTCTCCTCCTACACCCCCCTTGCTCCTCTTTCTTCCTGTCTCTTTTCTCCTCCTGTGTTTTTCCTCTTTCTCTGTCCATATTTTTTCTCATCCTTCTCTCCCATCCCTCTCTCCCAATCTCCCTTCTTCTCTCGCATCTCCTCTCTCCTTTTCCCTCCTTCTCCCTCCCCCTCTTTCTCTGCTCTCTCTCCTCTCATGCTCTCCTTCTCTCTCCCCTTCTCTCCCCATCTCCTTATTTTGCTTTGCTCTTTCTCCTCTCCCCCTCTTCCTTTCGCTTCTCCTCTTCGCCCCTCTTTTGCCATCTCTCCCCATTACCCCCTTTCGCCATGCTCTCTCTTCATTCCCTCTCTTTCTCCTCCCTCTTCTCCCCTTCAACCCTCTCTCTCCCCCCATCTCTCCATCCCTTGTCCTCTATCTCTCCCCCTCTCTTTTCCATCCCCTTCTCCCTCCCTCTTCTCCCCTTCCTCTCTTCCCCTCCCCATCTCTCCATCCCTCTTCCTCTCCCTCCCCCCTCTCTCTCAGCAGTATTGCGGTGTCTCCCGGTGGTCAGAGGAACCCGGTCGCCTCCACTCACTCCATCAGTTCTTCCACCACCCCGGACAGGCTGAGGTTCCCCAGGGGCACGGCCAGCCGGAGCACCTTCCACGGCGGGCAGCTCCGAGACCGCCGCACCGCCACCTACAACGGCCCCCCCGCCTCGCCCACCCTCTCCCACGATGCATCACCCCTGTCCCAGACCCGCAGCAGAGGAACCAGCAACCTGTTCTCCAAGCTCACCTCCAAACTCACCCGAAGGTAAAACAATAAAGAGTGTGAGAAGCCTAAAGAGAGGAGTGCATTTATGTTCAGACTAAAGCAGGTCTAAAGCAGGTCTAAAGCAGGTCTAAAGCAGGTCTAAAGCAGGTCTAACGCAGGTCTAACGCAGGTCTAACGCAGGTCTAACGCAGGTCTAACGCAGGTCTAACGCAGGTCTAAAGCAGGTCTAAAGCAGGTCTAAACCAGGACCTCCAAACTCACCTGAAGATAAAACAATAAAGAGTGTGAGAGCGTTTAAGCCTTTAAAGAGAGGAGTACATTTATGTTCAGTCTATATCTAAACTTGGTTTAAATCGGGTCTAAACCAATACAAAACCAGGTCTAAACTAGGACTAAACCAGGTCTAAAGGAACAACCTGTTCTCCAAGCTCACCTCCAAACTCACCTGAAGGTAAAACATTAAAGAATGTGAAAAGATTAAAGAGAGGAATCCATTTATGCTTAGCCTAAACCAGGACAAAACCAGGTCTAAACCAGGACTAAACCAGGACCTCCAAATTCACTCAAAGGTAAAACAATAGAGAGAGTGAGAAGGCCAAGATGTTTCTGTTCAGTTAGTCCAAGTCAAACGAAACCAGGTCTAAACTAGGTCTGAACCAGGATTAAACCAGGTCTAAAGTCGAAATTAGAGCTCAGGAAAGTAGGTCTAAACCAGGTCTAAACCAGCCTGATTACATTTACGCAGGTGCAGAAAGAAAAGCAACTCTCATAAAGGTGAAAATCTGAATAAATTATTTTAGGAAAAGGTCAAAATGCAAATAGCTTAGGACAAACTCAGGGTCTAAACCAGGTCTAAACCAGGTCTAAACAGGATTAAACAGACCAGGTCCAAAACAGATACAGAAGATAAAATATTGATTTATTAATATTGGTAAGAATATTGTCTAGAAAATTGAGAAGCTTGATCTGATAAGTTAGAAGACGCAGAAACTAAAGCTATTTTTTCTCTTATTGACTTTGACTGTAAAGGAGCGGCTGCTCTTCGGCCTGTAGTCTGTTAGTCTGCCTCATCAGCCAAAGTTTAAATTCTATTTGTATCAAATCACATTCACTGTTCATCTCAATGTGATTTTAAATGAATTTGTTGCTGCTTTGGTGAAATGTGTAGAATCTTTGGGTCAAACTGCTTTTGTGTTTGTGCTTTTAGACTCTGGGTTTTCACGCAGTAATAAAACAGTTTAAACTACAAGAGTTACTTACCTCTTATCACTTTAGTGTTCTGCCCTCTAGTGGTCAAAGGTGGCATAGACTTTGTCATACCTCAAAATACTAGTTTAAAACGTAAGCCGTTTGCTTTAGTGCATTTCAGGGTTACAACAAAATAATGTTCCAGTGCATTCTGGGTGATTTGGACATATTTCTTACAGTTGGTCAACACAATCATTGGTTTAACAAACAATCATAACACATAAATGTTTGAAAAATATAGACTACTGTAATCCGTTTCTGTTATAATTATTATTTTTAGAGCAGCCAAATGTCCCTTCAAACTTCACTGTTGCCAGGACAACAAATTAAGTAGATTTCTTTTTATAGACTTTATTTTTCTTAATAAATCTTGAGTTTTGTCACGTTCTTGGTGTTTACTGCCTGAAAACCCTGAACCTTCAGCAGCAGCAGCAGCAGCAGTGACTTTTGTCCAAAACAGAATCACTGTTTGGACTGTTCCTTTGACTCTGCTCTGTCTCTCCTTCAGTCCAACTCCTCCTCTCCTCGCTCCTAGCTCCTCTCCTGTCTCCTACGGTGTCTCCTACTTCCTAGCTCTGTCTCCTCCCTCCTTTGTTTCTCCCTTTCCTCCTTGTCCTCTGTTTTGTGTCACTCCCTGTGTCTCTCATTCCGTCCTATTCCTCCTCTCTACTCTTCCTTCCTTTGTTTCCGAGATCCTTTTTCTATCTCCCACCTCCTATTTCTGTGTGTCCTTTCCTTCCCTCATTTCTGGCTCACTGTTCTTATTTCCTTTGCTCCCTCCCCTCCTCTGTCCCTCTTCTCTCTCCTTCATCCTTCTTCTTTCACTCCGCTCTCTCCTTGTATCGTCTCACTGTCTCTCATCCCTCCTTTTCTCTCTCTGTCTCTATCCCTTCTCCTCTCTTTCTCCTCTTCTCCTTCACTGTCTCTCTCCTCTTTCTCTCCTCTCCTCTCCTCCTTCACTGTCTCACTGTCTTTCTGTCTGGTTTTGTTGTAGAAACATGTCATTCAGATTTTCCAAAAGGTAGGACCCTGGTCGCCCTGTGTCTGTCTTTTTTCTTTCTTTCTCACTCTCTCTCTTCTTTCGCTCTCTGCTCTGCCTCTTTTTCTTTATAATATTTAAAAAATCTTCGGTCTGGAGTGATTCACAGAGACTTGATTTTTGAGGGCTGTTGGCACCGAACTAACTCTTCAACGCTTCTACACAAAATACACTTTTGATCTACATTTACAAACACAACCTAATTTCTTACTTATCGATCTGTAATGGGGTCAGTGGGGCTTCTAGAAGTTTCTCAAATTATTACGATTATTTAGTGTTTTAAAAAGTGCTGTGTTAAAATACTATTAAAATACTATATATTTCTCAGTGATGTAGGTAGAGGAGACCACTGGCACAGAATTTAGACCCCATGGACACAGGGAGGGCATCTGACACACAGGGACATTTCAGAACATGTTTGTAGAGTCTAAACTACAGGGTTAGCAGCTTTTATGCAGAATAAAACCCCATAGAGAGTTCTCAAAGAGGACATTATAATATTACTTACTTACTACTATAATTTCAGCCTTAGCTGCTCAAAGTACAAAATGTGACTGATTTTGAAGCCCATACAAACAGTGGGAAACCAGACCTGAATTTGGATAAACTGTATTGTTCAAATGTATGTTATTATTAGGTTCTTTTTTCAGACCAAGAGTTTGTGTTTGTGTCTGCTCAGCGCTCTTCCTCACAGTGGTCACGTCGTGTTGCCGTGACGTGTCCGGCGTCCAAAGATCTGTGTAAATCAGGTGACCGACATCACAGCAACATGACGTGACCTTAACTTCTTGGGTTCTTTTCAAAGACAATACAGAAAAGAACCCAAGAAGTTCAAGTACGTAAGAAGACAAAATGAACATCTTTGGCAATGTGACGTAACCACTCTGAGGAAGAGCGCTAGTGAGCAGTCCAAACTGTCAGCTATGAAAACAAACTCTTGGTCTGAAAAAAGCCTTCTAACTAATAGCATAGATTATCAGAAGACCTAAAGAACCTCATTCAGAGATGGAGGGTTTTGTCACAACAGCTCAGTCATACGTACAGTGAAGTTTAAATAGTTTGTGTTAAAGGTGCCCTGTGTAACTTTTTGGTTAGGTGTCCGTCACCTGTTTGTCTCCATGGAGATGTCCCTGCTCTGACTGGAATGTTCCACAGTGTGACATTAAACAGCTCTACTTTACATTTATTCAATCACAGGTGGTTTTATATCTCAAAAATACCCAGACAAACAGACCTTCTGACTGTGAGCAGGGTCACCTGTCCACAGATCTGACCTGGAACTTGGTCTGGTTTGGTCTCTATGAAGATAGAAAGGTTTAATGCCATACTGTGAAACATTCCAGACAATGCAATAACATCTCCATGGAGAAAAGCTTTTGACGAACCCTCCACCAGAAAAGTTACACAGTGCACTTTTTAAAGTTTATGCAGGTTTATATGAGAAATCTATACGTGTCTTTCATTTTGAATCAGTCCCTTTTCGACTAGTAAAGCCAATAAGCTGCATATCTACTCCAAAAATAGTATTAAATAAAACAAAAGTAAGGAGTTTCCTGTGCCACAATTGCAGATATTTGTTTTTAAATCCGTTTTTTTCTCTTCTGACCTGTGTGTTTGTAAATGTAGCGTGTGCTGTGGTGCTGTGTCATTTTAACCCAAACATCGACCTCAGCTTTGGCTCAAAAACGAAGCATGTTCCACTCTGTCCAGCTTCTACTCTTTTATTTATCTTTTATTACTCTGTTTTGAATATTTTTATATGGTTCAGTTCGTGCAAAAGAACCGCACATCTGAGCCAGTACGAAAGGGAGATTTTTGTTTCTTTTTTCATGTAGAAGTAATAAATGTTCGGAAATTTTAAAAGGTTAATTAGCATTTTTTAGTATTACTGATTATTATTTATTTTTTTTTTTTTTACACTTTTTTAAACCATGATTGATTTTATTTATTTGTTTTTTTCTGAATACTTATTTCAGATGTTGAACAAATTTGATATTTTAAGCTTTTTTGTAGTTAGTGTTTGAATCTATCTGTATCAAGTTAACAAAATAACTTTTAAGGGAGTTCAATTTGCAGATAAAGCCGTAAACAGCAGCAGTGTACATTATTGAGGTCAGGTGCGCCCTCTGATGGACATTTGCAACAGTACAATCTTCTGTTCATCTACATTTCATTATTTTTTCTGTTTATCACTGTTTTTAAGGAAACCCAGAACCCAGAAGTGTATTAAAAATGTTTACAACACCAGTTTGCTGCACACATTAAAATTAATTTATGCTTATATTTTAATTTCAAGACATTTCTTCATTATTATTATTAAAATGAAGCATTTAATAAAGCATAAATCTGAACTAGAGGGTTAGCAGTTTTTACACAGAATAAGACCCAATCTGACATGCAGGGACATTGAGATCAAGTTTTCATTTTCTTCTAATAAGACAAAAAAATTAAATAAGTAAAACCTCTGACAAACTAATATTATAAAGTAAATTAATATAACAGATGTATACTGTATTTTCTGCACTATTAGACGCGCTCTTAAGCCTCCAACCCCATCAAAAAACAACTGCGCCCCACAATCCAGAGTACCCCATACACAAATCCACTCGAGTGTCCCAGCACGACTTCAGTAAACTACAAAGCTGCACCACCTGCAGAACACACAAACACACACGGAGCAGACAGCGACCGCACAGCCAAACACACCCACAGACACACTCATCACTCCACGCCGACGAGGAACGAACCGAAAAAGTGAGTGCAATGTGCCACTTCTAGACACAACTGAACAACTGAGTCACTGCGAACACACCGACAATCCAGTGGTCCCAGACACACCCTCCCTACACGCCACAACTGAACAAAGCCCAGAGTCACTGTGAACGCCACAAACAAACAAAACCACTCACCCATCACACTGTTGGGTTTCCTTTAAAGTCCCGTGCGGTTTATTTGTGAAAAAAGTTTGAAAATAGACCATTTAATGACAGTGCGTCTTATAATCCAGAGCGTCCTATAGTGCAGAAAATACAGTAGTTCTCAAAGAGTCACAGTATTTTCTATTCTCTACAGTTCTCTGATTTAAGTGCATAGGTTGTAAAACTTTTGGGCGACTTTAACATTTACATTACATTTAAGTTTAGGAAAAAGAACTACAAACCGGAGATTCAGCTGTTGCTTTCCTTAATGTTTGATTTTAGTCTGAGTAACATCTGGGGATCTGTCCTTTCCATCTCCCATTGTCACTTTTTTATATTTTATACCTGTTTTGTTCCTGTTTCCGTCATCTCTCGTCCTCCTTCCTCGTCACTCTAACCTTATTTTGACCTTTTGACCCCTCTTTGACCCCTCTGTTTAGGGTCACTCTTGACCCCAACAAACGGCAAACGGCCAAATCCGCCGCTCAGGGACCAAAGAGCCTTAGTAAGTCCCTCCACTTCCTCCTCCTCCTTCCTCCTTCCTCCTCAGCCAATCAGGGCTCACCTCTTCATCCATCCACCAATCCCATCCTCCCGTTCTGTTTGCATCTTATTTACGTCAAACTTTTTTCAATTTGTCATCGAATTTTCATAAAGTACAAAGAAATGTACCATTAGTTTACTTTTAAGACTCATTTTCTCAAATAAATAAAACATAACTGACAAAATTTTAAAACCCATCATATAGTGAGGTCATTTTATTGCCGAAATTAATAATAATAAAATAATAAGAATATATTTTTGTAGCCTTCACCAGCATACACACATTTATTATCTAAAGGTACACTATGTCGTTTTTCTGCTGGACGATCTACCAGCTGCTTGTTTCCATAGAGATGTTATTGCGTTGCCTGGGATGTTCCACAGTATGGCATTAAACGGGGATATCTTAATAATAATAATGATAACGATGCATTAGTCTCGTTTAGAGCTTTTTCAGACTTTTTACACGATTGTCCTTTCACTCCACACTGCCCTGCCACATCCGCCCTGGGACAGACTGACAGAAGAGAGGCTGCCGGTCTGCACCATTGGCCCCTCCGTCACACACACACACACACACACACACACACACCACTTTAACCCGGGGTCTTTAAATATTTGACCTGGGTGTCTCTTTGGAGAAAGATAAAGTTAAAGGTGCATTGTGTAACTTTTCTATGGCATTAACCCTTTCTATCTTCATCAAGACTAAACCAGACAGAGTTACAGGTCAGATCTGTGGAGAGGCGACCCCGCTCACAGTCAGAATGTCTGTTTTTGTAGGGATTTTTGAGCTAGAATTTTAAAACCACCTGTAACTGAATAAATGTAATGTAGATCTGTTTAATGTCACACTGTGGAACATTCCAGGCAGAGCAGTGATATCTCCATAGAAACAGTAACAGACCTCCAACCAAAAAGTTAGACAGTGCACCTTTACAGTCTACTTTGGCAATAATAATAACAATAACAATATGATTGTCTTTACCCCATCATTCTTTCTTTAAAAAAAAAAAAAAAAAATCATACTATCATTGTCTTTTTGTATTTGTTTTTTGCATTCTATTTATTTTATTTTATTGTGCGTATATGATTTATTCTAAGATGATGATTTGTATAGAAAATAGTTTACTTAAAGCTTAAAAAATAAATTATAAAAAAATATAAAATGAATTTCATATTGTGGAATGTCTCATGGAAAACTTACATCTCCATGGAGACGAGCAGACAGCGTAAAAGTGACATACTGCACCTTTAAGTCAGTCCAACCACTTTCTCTGTTTGTGTCTTCACACTTTAACACTCATTATTTCACTTATTATATAAAACAGGAGTTTGTGACGATAGTTCAGATTCAGTGAGAACTTTTAACTTCATGATTTTTTCCTTTTTTGAATTAATTTGTATTTTTTCTTACAATTCATTTGCTGATTCTTTAACTAATAGCAACCTTTATTTTTCATTGAAATTTTGAGGGTTTTTTTTCCCTTTTTTGAGATAAAATTAGTCTTTAGAATCCAGTTTTGTCCAGTTTAAACAGTTTAGAATCTCCGTGCTCCTCATTCGGCCTCTGGTGTGACTCTGCAGCTCTCTCTCATCTTCACCGTCTGGTCTGATCACTATTTTACAAGCAATGTTTTTAATTTCTTATAACACTTTAGTAATGTTGTTTTTGGTTTTACTCACTTTGCACTGGTCAAAAGTTTGAACACAACAACTATTTGGATTTAAAGATGCAGAGGACGTCTACATGAGTTTAAAAGACTTGAAATCACTGAAATATTAATCCACACTGGAGTTTTAACTCGTTTGAACTGTTTACTTATTATTTCTCATCTAATTTCATATTTATTTCTAATCAGATTTCAAATGCAATTTCTCATTCTAACTGTGAATCTGTTTTTGCTTGAAATAAGAATTTAATCAGATAATCCAGGCCAGTGGTTCTCAAAACTTTTACATTAAATACCATCAGTGAATAGATCTGGACTTTCTACTGACAACAGAACTGAGCCGGGACTGAGCCAGGACTATTCCAAGGACTATTCCAAGGACTATTCCAAGGACTATTCCAAGGACTATTCCAAGCACTATTCCAGGTCTCAACTAGGACTCAACCAGGACTGAATTAGGACTGAACTAAGACTTTTCTGGGCTATTCTGGAACTATTCTATGGTTAAACCGGGACTCAAACCAGGACTCAAACCAGGACTCAAACCAGGACTCAAACCAGGACTCAAACCAGGACTCAAACCAGGACTGAATTAGGACTATTCTGGGAGTCGGACCGGGAGTCGGACCGGGAGTCGGACCGGGAGTCGGACCGGGAGTCGGACCGGGAGTCGGACCGGGAGTCGGACCGGGAGTCGGACCGGGAGTCGGACCGGGAGTCGGACCGGGAGTCGGACCGGGAGTCGGACCGGGAGTCGGACCGGGACTGAATTAGGACTATTCAGGGACTCAAGCAGGACTCAAGCAGGACTCAAGCAGGACTCAAACCAGGACTCAAACCAGGACTCAAACCAGGACTCAAACCAGGACTCAAACCAGGACTCAAACCGGGACTGAACTAAACCAGGTCTTCAGTAGGACCACAGACAGTTGTTGCAGTAGTTTTAAGAAATGACCCAAAGAAAGTCTAAAACATCCTCTAAATGACAAGCCCACCATTTGAGAAGCTCAAATCTTTAATAAGTAAATCAATGAAACTGAGTTAAAAGTTCAGAAAAACAAAAGCTCTTGATTTGAGCTCGTGTAGATGTTCTCGGTTTGAGCGTCTGTTTGAACTTTTGTCCAGTTCACTTTTGTTTGTGTTGAATAAACTCTGATTTGTGCACTGCCCTGTGTCTCTGCCGCTGTGTGCTGTTTGCTCCGTTTGGTCGTGTGGTTGATGGTTCGATTCCAGAGTCTCCACTGAGTTTGAGCGAAACGGGAGACTCGAAGGTTCAAGGTGAGATCTGGACCAGGACTTTGGGACCAGGAACTGTGGAGGACCAGGACTAAACTAATGAATCTAGAACTGGACTAAGATTAAACAAGAACATGACCAGGTTTAAGACAGAACTAAACTAGAATGGAACCAGGACTAAATCAGGTCTAAATGAAACTAGGACTGGACTAGGACTAAAACAGGATTTAACCAGGTCTAAGTTATCCACCAGTGAAAAGATCTGGATTTTCCAGTACCAACAGGTCTGAACCAGGACTGAACCAGGACTGAACCAGGACTGAACCAGGACTGAACCAGGACTGAACCAGGTCTAAACCAGGATTAAACCAGGACTACACCAGGTCTACCCCAGGACTAAATCAGTACTTAACCAGGTCTAGACCAGGATTTAACCCAAACTTCATCAACCAGGACTTAACTGGGACTACACCGGCTCTAAACCAGGACTTAACCAGGACTACACCAGCTCTAAATCAGAACTTAACCTGGACTTATCTAGGTCTTAACCGGGACTATGCTGGGTCTAAACCTTGTCTTAACTAGGTCTACACCAGGACTTAACCGGGTCTAAATCAGGATTTAACCTGGACTTAACTAGGTCTAAACCAGGACTACGCCAGAACTACACCAGGTCTAAACCAGGACTTCACCAGGACTACACCAGGTCTAAACCAGTACTTAACCAGGTCTAAACCAGGATTTAACCCAAACTGAATTAGGTCTTAACCAGGACTTAACTGAGACTACACTGGGTCTAAACCAGGACTTAATCAGGTCTAAATCAGTGCATAACCAGGTCTAAGATGGGACTTAACCCGGATTGAAGCAGGACTGAAGCAGGACTGAAGCCAGGACTGAAGCCAGGACTGAAGCGGGACTGAAGCCAGGACTGAAGCGGGACTGAAGCGGGACTGAAGCGGGACTGAAGCAGGACTGAAGGACTGAAGGACTGAAGCCAGGACTGAAGCAGGACTGAAGCGGGACTGAAGACTGAAGCCAGGACTGAAGCCAGGACTGAAGCCAGGACTGAAGCCGGGACTGAAGCAGACTGAAGGACTGAAGCAGGACTGAAGCCAGGACTGAAGCGGGACTGAAGCGGGACTGAAGCGGGACTGAAGCGGGACTGAAGCGGGACTGAAGCGGGACTGAAGCGGGACTGAAGCAGGCGTGGACTTGTCCCACAGTGGTTCTTGGTCCCGTGTAGATAAGGTGTCGTCTGTTCTCAGCCGCTGGTCTGTGCCTGTGTCTGCCTCATGTTTAAAGTCTCTTGTTTTTGGCTGGAGTTTGGTGCATGGCTCTGCTCCGTCTGCGCTGCATGATTTTGGACTGAAATTTGAATCTTAATTTTTGTATTTTATATTTTTGTTTTTATCCATGACTTGAAAACCGCTGGTCTTGTTTTAAACTCCTCAACTTTGCCATTTAACGAAGCATGTTTTTATTGAATGTCTCTGTCTGGTGGATGTGAAAATGGGTAAAGATTGGATTTTGGACCAAAGAAAAAACTACTTCAATGTTAAAGGTTTCAACTAAATGTAATTCATGTTTTGTTTCGTTTTTTTAAGGAATAAAATACTACAGTAAACCAGGACTAAAGTAGGCCTTCTGTTCCTGGACTAAAGCAGATCTAAACCAGGACTAAAGCAGATCTAAACCAGGACTAAAGCAGATCTAAACCAGGACTAAAGCAGGTCTAAACCAGGACTAAAGCAGGTCTAAACCAGGACTAAAACAGATCTAAACCAGGACTAAAACAGATCTAAACCAGGACTAAAGCAGGTCTAAACCAGGACTAAAGTAGATCTAAACCAGGACTAAAACAGATCTAAACCTGGACTAAAGCAGATCTAAACCTGGACTAAAGCAGATCTAAACCTGGACTAAAGCAGATCTAAACCTGGACTAAAGCAGATCTAAACCTGGACTAAAGCAGGTCTAAACCTGGACTAAAGCAGGTCTAAACCTGGACTAAAGCAGATCTAAACCTGGACTAAAGCAGATCTAAACCTGGACTAAAGCAGATCTAAACCTGGACTAAAGCAGATCTAAACCTGGACTAAAGCAGATCTAAACCTGGACTAAAGCAGCTCTAAACCTGGACTAAAGCAGCTCTAAACCTGGACTAAAGCAGGTCTAAACCAGGACTAAAGCAGGTCTAAACCAGGACTAAAGCAGATCTAAAGCAGATCTAAACCAGGACTAAAGCAGGTCTAAACCTGGACTAAAGTAAGTTTTCTGTTCCAGGACTAAACTGGATCTAAATCAGGACTAAACTTGGATTATTGGACTTTACTTAGTCCAGACCAGGTCTAGTCAGATCTCGGTGCACTGTGAGGTCCATCTGCATTTCTAATAGAATTACTGTTGCTTTACCTGGAATGTTTCGGAGTGTGGCATTAATTTTATCAGACGATAATACATTCCTACAGTTATTGTGCTCGCCTCTACGCAGATCTGACCTGTAACCTGGCGTAGAGAACCTTTACCAAAGACTGTAACTCAAAATGGTGGTGCTGCCTTTGTCTCCATGGAGATAAAGATAAATTTAGAACCACAGACGCCAGAAAAAAGTTACATGGTGCACCTTTAATTCAGTGCTACATCTGTACACTTTAAGTGTGAAATGAAAAATGAATGAAAAAGTTTTAATACATTTAATAAAAAATAAAATTAAATAATTAAATTTTAATACAAAAAATTTATAAAAACGTAATAATTGAAAAAGTTTTCTGGTCCGTTTCAGTTTAAAAAAAAAATAAAATAAATGGAAAAAAGAAATATGAATGCTGATTTGAATACCTTTATAGACACTTAACATATTTACTTTTTTGTTGGTTAATAAATGTTTATAAATAAATAATGGTAGACAAAAAAAGCAAAGGTTTTATGGTCCAAATTTTGCATTCTTTACTTTTCCACCAGACACTTCCCTCTCCCTTTCTCCTTGTCTCTTTCTCTGCTCCTCTGTCTCTTTTCTCCGTTATCCTTTCGCACTTTTAACCTTTTTTTGTAACTCCTTTTCGTTCCTCTCTCCCCTCCAGCCGCCATGTCCCAGCTTCAGACCCGACCGGACCCAAAAGCGACTCCAAGCCCCGATCTCTCCGCTTCACATGGAGTATGAGGACTACCAGCTCCATGGAACCAAACGAGATCCTGCGCGAGATCCGCAAAGTCCTCGACGCCAACAACTGCGACTACGAACAGCAAGAAAGCTTCCTCCTCCTCTGCGTCCACGGCGACGCCAGAGCCGAAAACCTCGTCCAGTGGGAGATGGAGGTGTGCAAGTTGCCCCGCCTCTCCCTCAACGGCGTGCGCTTCAAGAGAATATCCGGCTCTTCGATCGCGTTCAAAAACATAGCGTCAAAAGTTGCCAATGAGTTAAAACTATGAGTAAAAAACAAACACCACAAAGTATAAATATAAGAACTAGTATTTAAAGTGTACATTGCAATCACCCAAGTAGCAGTTTTTTCCAAATCTGAATTTCTTTTTTTTTTTAAACAAGAGTATGTATGGAATATTATAATGTATAGAGAAACTAAAAAGCTTTTTGGCAATAATCACAAATACTAATATCTTTCAGGAAGTTTAACGGTCGACATTAAAAGTGGCGTCAGGGGAGTTTTGAGTTCGAGTTAAATGTAGAACTTGAAGACAGTCGGTGCCAAACTTGAGTAGATTTGAATTGAAGAATTTAAAAGTGATGTAAAGGTGCAAATCCTTGTGTTGTTCCTTCATCTGTTTTTCAATGTAAAACCAAAAATAAGAAAACGAAAAAATAACAGTTATCTTCGTTATTTGTCTCCAAAATCAAAAAATGGATAAAGATTCGTTTTTTCAGGTTTTAATTTTGTGTTTAAATGAATAATGGAAAAAAACGGATAACGGCCGTTTCCCGTTTCCGTGACATAAACTGCAGTGCTGGACTTTTGTGCCACATACGGACTGAACCAGGACTAACACAGGACTAAATCAGATCTAAACCAGTCTCAGTCCCGGTCTGGTCCTGGTCTGGTCCCGGACTGAATCATGGCCTGGTCCTGGTCTGGTCCCGGCCTCAGTCCTGGTCTCAGTCCCAGTCCTGTTCCTGGTCTCAGTCCTGGTCTCAGTCCTGGTCTCGGTTCAGGTCTGGTCCCGGTCTCAGTCCTGGTCTCAGTTCAGGTCTGGTCCCCGGTCTAAGTCCCCGGTCTAAGTCCCCGGTCTAAGTCCCCGGTCTAAGTCCCCGGTCTAAGTCCCCGGTCTAAGTCCCCGGTCTAAGTCCCCGGTCTAAGTCCCCGGTCTAAGTCCCCGGTCTAAGTCCCCGGTCTAAGTCCCCGGTCTAAGTCCCCGGTCTGGTTGGACCTGGTTCAGTCCTGGTTCAGTCCGTAACGGAAACGGGAAACAGCCATTTTTCTCCATTCTTCATTTAAACACGAAATGAAAAACTGAAAAGACAAATCGTTATCCGTTTTTTCATTTTGGTTTTGGAGACAAATAATGAAGAAAACAGTTTTTTGTTTTGTTTTCTTATTTTTGTTTTTATATTGCAAAATGAATGAACGAATGACACACAGATTGGTGCATTGTGTAACTTTTCTTGTCTCCATGGAGGTGCTTCTTTACCTACAGTAGAATGTGTCTGAATACGGCATTAAACGAGTCTGTTTCACATTTGTTCAGTTACAGATGTTTTCTAGCTCAAAATGCCTTGAAAAACTTACGGCTTTAATTTACAGTGATTTAACCATGATTTAACATTTTTTTAAGTGGTTGGGATTAGTTTGAGTGAAAGAATACTGCCATGGAAACAGTCATTTCTAATCAGATTGACTCAGATTGTGCACACTTTGTTGTCACTGCCTTATATTTTGATTTAAATGCCACTACGATGAAGTGGAATTGGTTTATTTTGTTTCATTTAAACTCAAAACTCTTCTCAACTTGAGCTAATATCTGCCATTGCCTCCATTTTGCACCTTTTAAATTCATTTGAGGAAATATTTTCATTTTGGTTGATGTCTTTACCACTTTTTATGACAGAAATCTACTCGGAAATATGAAATTCCGCATAAAATTCCCTGGACGCCACATTTTTGAATATGATTTGTCATGCTGTGAATGGACAGAGCATTTGTAGTCTTATTTATTATTTCACCCATTTTTTTCCTCAAAGTTTAAAAAGGACAGCTTCTTGTTTTCACTGTAAATAATGTAATCTTAATTTCAAAATCCGCTTCACCGCAAACCGTTATTTTTCTTTTTGTATTTTGTTGACCTTGAGGTAGAGATGGAGTTGTGTAAATGGCCACACATGTCTACATTAAAAAGTGTCTGTCAAAATTGGTCCCTGGTATTTTTGCTGTGAATTTAAAGTTTATTTTTTATAGCCATATCATTCCATTTAAACTTTAAGATTACAAATAAGCCAAAAGTGGAATTTGTAGTTTGAATTTTGACCCTGTGAGGCATTGGTACTTGGAAAAGTTAACTTTAAAATGACAGTTCATCCACTATGGCAGTTGAAGCACACTCAATTTGCCAGTTTTTTTTTCAATAGTCTCTACATTTTGTCAAATCTCACTTTCCAAGTTTAGATTTGAGGTGTAAGCCACATGAGACACATGATTCTTTACTCTAAAGACTGTTGTGTATAATTTAAGTAGAGCTCTGAACTGAGTCGGTTCTTCCAGTGTTTAGTCTGTGGGAGTTCAGTCTTGAATCTACAAACAGGAAACTAAAGTTATTCTCAGTATTTCCTCCTGATCAGAGCCTGTGTTTAAGATGAGACTCAGACTTGTTTAAAGGGACAGTACATAAATTGAGATGTGAGAGTTTAGTTTCATGATGTTGATACTTGACACGGATTCAGGCTTTCAGACTCAGGTTTGACTGTTGAACATTTTTATTTACTGCAGATCCTTCCTCCGTTACAGCAACCGTTTCTTAAATAGAGCAAACCAAACGTGGTACAGTGCATTCAGGACAGTCAGTCAGGAGTGTACGGGGTGAGGAGGGGGAGGGGGGAGAGGAGAGTTACTTCTGGGAGGGCATCAGGTCGTCGATGGCCTGACCCTTCTCCAGACGTTTCTCCATCTCAATGAGCAGCTTGATTCCATCAACCACCATCTGCACCAGCTCCACCTCTGAGAAGCCCAGACGGTCGGCGTTAGAGATGTCAAAGACTCCGCCCACCGCCGCGGTGTCCACTCCACCTGAGAGCGAGGAGAAAAGAGACAGAACGGATTAGACTTCCATTCATACAGCTGATTGCTTTCAGACACTTCCAAAAATAGACTCCGCTGATTAAAGTGAACTCTGAATCCTGGCGCCTTCATGTGCATCATCAGGCCCAGTGGAACATTCTTTGACCTGTGTGCTCGTGTACTTCTGCTCTGCTGCTCAGGATTATGAAGAGAACCTGTCACAAGTTTGATTCTATGCCAGTTTTACCACTAGTACAACTTTCCTCTCCCACTAAACACCTGACATGAACTTCTGGAGGCAGCTCTCCCATGTCTGTTTCCCAGTGGAAGTTGCACATGAACGCTGCAGAGTCTTGTTTAGAATTTGTGGCATCGGCTCCATTTGATTATTTATGTAAACATTTTTAATTCAGTGGAGACAAATGTGTAAAGTTAGAGCCCCGTTAAAGACTGTGCAGTGTTTCCAGTTCCCTCCCTCGTCGTGCTGCTGTACAGTGGTGTGTTCTCACCGGTGCCTCTCTTCTGCAGCCTGAGCCTCTTGAGCACCTCCTCAAACTGTGGGTGCTTGCTCATGTTGGGCAGTTTGACGTGGACTCCGGCTCTGAGCCCGGTGCCCAGGTTAGAGGGGCAGGTCAGGACGTAGCCCAGGTGCTCGTTCCACATGAAGTCGTGTCCGCGCTGCTTAAACAGGTTCTCGATCTTCGGGACAAAAAGGACAAAAGCGGGACATCAGACACACGTGAGAGAGCGCCCCCTGCAGAGTACACTGGATATTACTCTGGTTTTCCCCTGACCTTGGTGAGTCCGGTGCAGAAGCGGTTGAACACCTCCCTCATGTTGCCTCCTTTCTGCATAGAGATCACTCTCAGATGGTCCTCCTCGTTCACCCACACCAGGAAAGTCTTGTTGTCGTTGTGCCTTTGAGCAAACACACTTTAGTAAAAATAATTCTAAATTAGACTACATTAAACAGCGGTCCAACTCCTCACCAGATGCCGCGGGCGTCGGGCCAGTCGCGAGCCATGCCAGAGGCCAGGAGCAGAGGAGACACGGGTTTGTCAAACAGGAAGTGGTCGTCAATGAGCTGCTGCTGCTCCTCCTCAGTCATGTTCTTCAGAGCGTAGTATTTCCCCTTCAGGTCTCCGCTCAGGGAGTCCAGGGCTGAGGGACAGAGACAGACACAGTGTGTACTTTTAATCTGAACCAGGACTGTGCAAGAGAGACATTAAAAACCCAAAACTAATGAGCTAAAAGACAAATTCACTTTGGAACAAACATCTGCACTTTCAATCTAAAACAGTCCGGGGCTGTACAGAGCCACACTAGTGTTCCATGCTCTCAGTATCTGCACTTAAACCAGATCCAGTGGAGTTCCTGTTGAGTTTAGAAGTGAATGTTTGTTAAACGTGCATTAGCATCGTGACATACCTTCGATGGAGAGCCTCTCGATGCCGCGTCTCTCTCCGCGGCTGCAGTGTGGTGGCAGAGCAAACCCACGAACACTGCGTCCCGTCCTCACTCTGGAGCTCAGGACGTAGGCTGGGTCCAGGTCATCTCCACCCTGAGACACACAGGGACAGAGGGTTTGGGGTTAAACTGGAGTAAGAGGACACATCCAGAAAGGTGAAAGGACAAACACTGGAGCAGCTCTGTGCTCCTTGTGTCACAGTTTCTCAGTTTGTGTTCAAAAGTAAAACTAAAGATTTTTGTACATTTTTGGAAAACACTGGTGGATGCTCCCTGCAGAATTATTGGCTTTCTCCAGTGAAACTTGGCAGGTTTCACCAGGTCAATACTCTGCAGAGCCCCAGAGTGAGCACAGCGCTGCAGGGTCACTGATGTGCACGAGTTTAGAATGATTATCTCCACATACAGAGAGTAATCATGGCGGCAGCAGCAGTTACGAGTTCTTAGGTCATTAGTACTGCAGAGTTGTTTGTGGGCTTGTGTGGTGGTAGTAGTAGTAGTAGTAGTACCTGTAGGTTGTCTGCGTTGAGGTCGGTCTTGTGCTTGTCTGAGGGCTTGTATCCTCCGTGACGGTCTTCAATCACTGGGTCCAGCAGCTCTTTGAACACCTCATAGGTCTCTTCGTCTCCAGCCACACAGCCCACAGTCATGATGAACGGGTGACCTACACATTCACAAACACAACCACACACACACACACCCACCCAAGGTTAGGGACATAACACTGACTGAAGACATCCTGTCACTTTTCAGTTTTGTGGTGTGGGACTAGAGGAGAATGAGCCTTAAATAGCATTTTCTCAGGTTCCAAACGTCTAATGGTCGCAGCCTGGCTGTAATTGTAGTGGGTGTGTATTATAATAAGTTTTATTCCACACTGTCACCCCTACGAGCAGTCTGTCCCTCCCTGTGCTGCTGAGTCCTGCACTGGACCGGGATTGTCCACCCCGGGCTGAATGACGTTGTCGATGGTGAAGCCGCTGGGGGTGGCGCGCTCCCGCAGGCGCGCGTACACGTCCTTGGTGAGCACTTTGGCCATGTGGTTGTTGTGTTTGGTCAGATCTGGGAACTCTTCATCCACCGAGCGCCGCTTCAGAGTCAGCGTCAGGTTGGACATGAGCTCCGCGCTGCACAAACACACCGCATCACCACAACTCTACACCGCCTCAGTGCCACCACCAGGGGGCGCCACCTGCACACTCAGCGCTCATAAAAAGGTACATCATGTTACAGGACCATAAAGAGGCCAATCTGCCTCCGCGGGATTAACGGGCCCGGGACATCGCGCATGAGCTGCGTGGTTTTACCTCATTGTGCAGAATAAAAGGCGTTAGGAGCATTTAAACCTGAGCAGTACAGAGACGTGCTCCTGACGCAGCGTGGACCCGGATTAAAGCAAAGCCCGCTCCTGCAGCCCGCTGCTCTCAGCAAAGGTGCTGAATAATAAGAATGAACGCTTCTATGAGCCGCACACGAGCGCACTGCGTCTGTTTGGCCCTGCGCTGTTGCGTGTTTCATCAGTGCACGTGCGTGTGATGGGGCGTTAGATAACACGTGATGTCATCTGAGTGGAGGAATCACAGCCGCCGCTAACGAGCCGGAGAACAGCCTGTGCGCCAGAGTCAGTGCGGACTTTGTGCACACATGAGTGCGGCAGATTGCGGCAGAGGCGCAGTGAGAGGACACAGCGCGGCTCCTGGAGCGGACAGTAGAAAAGAGGGAGCCGCTCGGGATTAGAGTTATGTAACGGTAATCTTTGCCGTTGGCCGCTGACACGCGCTGATAATGGTGCCTCTTTTAGACTCTTAAGTGCTCCTGCTCCATATTGTGCTGCGCCGCGGAGGCGCTTATCCCTCACAAGGTCACCCAGAGCCGCTGCTGCTGCGCCATTAGGGCCCTGCGCGGGGATGAGGGGATGAGGGGCAGATGGCCGGCTCTGGGTGGCTCTGGGTGGCTCTGGGTGGCTCTGGGTGGCTCTGGGTGGCTCTGGGTGGCTCTGTACCTGGGTTGTCTACGCCGGTCTGGATGACGTCATCCAGGGTGAAGCCGCTGGGGGTCTGCTTGTCCCGCAGGCGCGCGTACATGTCCTTGGTGAGCACCTTGGCCATGTGGTTGTTGTGTTTGGTCAGGTCGGGGAACTCATCATCCGCAGAGTACTTGAGCTTCCACTCGTTGTGCGTGTTACCGAAAGGCATGGCTGCTCCCTGGGTGAGGGCGGAGGGGAGAAGGAGGAGAGACGGTCAGAGTGTGCACACAGCCCGTACAGCCCCGCATAAACCCGCATAAACCCGCTACATCCCGCTACATCCCGCCCCGCAGCGCGCACAGCCGCTTTCACGCACATTAACATTAGATTATGACAGAGCAAAGGAAAGAGCGGCTGTGCATCTCCCCTTTAGCAGGAGTGTCCCCGGTCTAACAATGACAGCCGGACAACAATGGGCCGAGACGCCTGTCTGAGTCCCGCTAAAGCTGCTGCTTCCCCGAATAAAAGCATGCAGAGCCGGGCACAGCAGCCCCAGGATGCCGTACCTGCTGTCTGCGGGTCTGAAGGTGACTGGTGCTGGAAGGAGTGGAGACAAAGATCCCTATTTTGTCTGGTGTGGAGCTGTGGGCCGGTTGCTCCTCTCAGCGGCGGCTCTGCGGTGTCAGTCCGAGACAGAGCGCGCCTTTTATAGCCGCGTGTCTCCGCCCCTCGGCCGCGGCCCACTGCCGTTCATTCAGCGCGTGGCCCGCGTCTGCCGCCATAACGACTCCAGATAAAAACATGTATCCAAAAACACAGAGGGGATGTCTGAGGAGGAGCGGGGAGTGCGCTCCTGTGTCACACCCGCGCCCTGTTTTGGCAGCAGTAGTGGGTTCTGGGCTCTGAGCTGCAGCAGTGCGTAAAGATGCGCCCCACTGTTTAATGACACATTAAAGGTCCATCATTTTCCTGCTTGTTAACAGCACGAGGCCACACTCCTGAGGCACTTTGTGTTTAACGTTTCTTCTGTTTACATGAGCGGGACATGGAGCAGTTTTGGGCTATTGTCTCTTTTGTATAGACTGTACTCTTTCTTTTTTTTCTTGCTTGCTCATCATTCTTTGCAACCAAGACCTAATCACATCTTGTACCTTCACATGTCCTCCTCTGCGTTGCTGTGTGACGCATTGCCTATGAATAATAAAACATCCAAATGCCAGAACCGCGCGCTGCTTGTGCTGCAGCACAAACAGCAGCGTCTCTTTGTGCCTGTTTTATACGCAGGCTGCTTTCAAAGTGAGTGCTCCCAGCTTTGCGTGCCTTCAGTGTCTGCTGTCATCTCGCCTTTACATCCTCAGCACCATCACACCGCCCCCTGCTCGCGTTCACGCCGCGGAGGAAGTGCGATGCTCGGTCAGGCGGGTCTGCTCTCTCCATGACCCATGTTCCACTGCCTCCGTGCATCCACCATCTTGTCTGTGTTGACAAAACTCACATTATTCAAATGTGCAGAATGTGCCCAAGGTGGAAACTACGTTGTTGTTTTTTTTTGCAGGGTGCAATGTTGTATTTGTAGGAACGTGTCTGGATCCTATAGATGGCAGTAATGCACGCAAATAGCACTAGTCTCCACGAAGAAGACGCATTTCCTGTCAAAACAAAACCACGTGTGCGGGCAGAAAGCGCGTGGATGTCAGATTGTCCTCTTCTCATCGACTTTCCTTCATTTACAGAAGAATTATATCGAAATCTCACCCTTTTTCCTCCTCTTCTGGCGCAGCGTGTTAGAGAAAGGTGAGCGCAGCCAGTGGAACATAACGTGACGCGCGCTTTACGCACAGAGCAGCGGTTAGCATGAACAGCTTTCAGTTTTAGCTCGATTTTGTTCACGGATTTTGATATTTTAACGCTTTAAGATACTAAATTCAACAAGTTCTGACTTTTTTATGAAGTGTTTGGATCTATTCACGTAATGCTTCTTTTTAAACCTGTTTTTATTCGCCTTAAAATTGTCAAGACTTTGGCTGATCCAAATTGCATTTTTATTTGGCAACGGTAAAACCAAGCAGCTCATAATGGTAAAATTATTATAAAATTTGGCATTAAACTGTTGCATTGACATTGCAAAACTTATCAAATGCTGTTACAGTAAAATATTATTTGAATACAAAAATGAACACAAAATTACTTTATACTTACTTTATACTTAAATACTCTCTGTATTGCAAACTTTTCACACTTGATTTCGTTAAATTTATATCTTAAAATAGCTTAAATAATATAAACTACAATTGAAAACGGTTAACGACTCCATCACAAGTGGGAAAAGATTTTGACCTCAAATTAAACTTCACAAAACATCCGAAAAACACAAGAAATGATTCTTATTTTTTGTACTCACACTTTGGGAACGTTGTCGCTCATGTTTCTTCGTGTAAAAACTCAAAAAATATCCAATAAATTCACCAGGAAAATTGTTATTAAAAGTTGTGCGCTATCGAATCGAGCACGTGCAGAGACTAGAATGTTCTTTTGTGACTGGAAAATGGAACAACTACAGTTTTAATTATTCTTTATGGTGACACATATCTTCATTTATTGAGCCTTTTTAGCTTATTGGTTGTGATATTGAAGAACTGTTATACTAATGTGCAATGTAATTACTTAAATATTAAAAAAAATACATGTATATTACTTTTATTAGTACTTCTACTTTGAAAAAATAGTCTGACAGGCTACTGTAAAATTATATTAACATGAATTGAGTGTGTTGAGAGTCAAGTGAGTCATGTACTTTTCAAACTTGTAATGTTAAATATGGAATTGTGCTATTTTTTTATTCTAATTATCAGAGATGGAAGGACAAACTCTTGCAAAACATGTGGAAAATTATCTGGTGACTTTCCCCCTATGTGTTTATTTATTTTGATTTGTCTTGGACCTAAAAAGGCTTAAGCTTTTGAGAGCCTGTAGTTCCAAAAAGTAGTTCTACATTGACAGTAAAAAATATTAATAAATAATAATAAATTGTGAACGATGCAATGCACTGTATGCATGTATTTACTACAACTTATATCAAAATCTCATCTTGTCTTGTCCTACTCCTAATTATTATACTTATAAATAAGAAGGACCAACAGTTCCCTAATTTAAATTATATTAGGTACAGCTCTATACAATACTTGCAGATATTATAATAAAATGAAAAAATATCCAAGAAAACCAGTATGATCAGTGTATTTCCTTGTTCTTCAGGTTGCAATAGGAGATGAGTTTTGCAGAGTACTCGGAGTGCATAGCTGAGGGAGATGTGGCCATTATTTACCTGAGCCACGACGCCATGATGCCCGTGAAGGTCCAGAAAGGAGCCCAGACTCAGACCAGATACGGCGTGATCCGCCACTCCCAGGACCTAATCGGGCACAAGTACGGATCCAAGGTAAGAGTCACTCACTGAATGTATCAATGGACTGAATGTATTAAATAAACCTGCTAATGAAATGATTAATTTACATTTTTATCTATGGACAGTCGTGGTTATAGACTGATTGTTGGTGCTAAACCTGATGACACTGTTTCCAGGTGAGCTGCAGTAAAGGCTGGGTGCACGTGCTCCACCCGACCCCAGAGCTGTGGACAGTGTCTCTGCCTCATCGCACTCAGATCCTCTACACCACAGACATCTCCATGATCACCATGATGCTGGAGCTGAAGCCCGGAGCCATCGTCTGCGAGTCCGGTAAGAACATCACTAACACTGCACTAGTACTCGAGTAGTTAGACTCAGTACATTTGTCACATCATGTTGAGAATATGTGGGTGATATTGACAAAAATGAAAATCTTGTTAACAATGTAACTATATCTGACAACACAGACAATATCATCCAGTTGTGTTTCTTTCATAAAAATCTGCTTTAACGTTACACTGTATGGACTAAAAGGAGTACAGTATTTTCCACACTATAGGGGGCGCTCTTAAGCCTCCAACTCCATCAAAAAACGACTGCTCCCCACAATCCAGAGCGCCCTATACATGAATCCACTCGGGTGTCCCAGCACGACTTCATTAAACTACAAAACCGCACCACCCACAGAACACACAAACACACATGGAGCAGACAGCGACCGCACAGCCAAACACACCCACAGACACACTCATCACTCCACGCCGACGAGGAACGGAACGGAGGAACAAACCGAAAAAGCGAGTGCAATGTGCCACTTCTAGACACAACTGAACAACTGAGTCACTGCGAACACACCGACAATCCAGCGATCCCAGACAGCACCCTCCCTACACGCCACAACTGAACAAAGCCCAGAGTCACCGGGAACGGCACAAACAAACAAAACCACTCACCCATCACACTGTTGGGTTTCCTTTAAAATCCGGTGTGATTTATTTGTGAAAAAAGTTTGAAAATAGACCATTTAATGACAGTGCGTCTTATAATCCAGAGCACCTAATAGTGTGGAAAATACGATATTCCTGAAACACAAGAAATTGACACTTTGCGTTGACATCCTGCTGGGGCTGTTCTGCATGTATTGCTATGGCGGAATATTCAGCAGTTACCATGGTGGTTCAATGCACATTTAGCAAACACTGCCTCGTAAGTTGTTTTTGTCATAAAATGTTCAGGATCCTGTGATCAATACGAGCGCTCATGGTTCTGTTAAAGATTTTCAACAAGGTGAAAAACTGTTGGGTAGATAGTTTCACCGTAGACAGAGCAGTGCCTCTAATTAGCTTCACACCTCCACGGAAACAAAACAAAAAACACTAGTATTTGCCCTTTTGTGTGTTTGGGTGGCACAATATTATGTAGAAAATGGTCCAGTTTTTCTTGTGCATTCTTTGGCAGCATTCCTAAACCACTCAACAAAATTAAATTACATTCCCCACAGGCCTCCATGAATCACTTGGAAACTCCAGACAATATCCCAGTGTAATATTTCAGATGCTTGTAGTGGCCACTCTTTATAAGGCAGCATTATTCATGATGTGTCCATATCATTTACTCTGGGACTGTGTCAAATGGGAAGCTTTGTTTGGTTTTATTCAGTAATGTTTGTGTTTTGTCTTGTGCTTTCTTTGAATTCTGTGCTCTGAAATTATTGTATTTCTTGCTAACTTTCTGCTTTTAACAAGTGGTTATTTTTCTCATCAAAAAAATACGCTTTTTTTTTTTTTTTTTTTGTATACAAACAACTAGCATGCTGACGGCACACTTTCACCAGCATTATGGTACTTCCTGGTTCATTGATTATAAAAACACTTTATAATTAGATGCAGATGACTCACAGTAGCATTAAAGTGACCCTAAGGACTGCTACTACAATATCTGAACTGGGGCAAAAAGTTATAAAATATATATATATATATAAAAATATAAAATATGAAGGAGTAATGCATATTAATGTTAATCACATGTGAATCAAGATCACGATTTCAATTACTGTATTTTTTGGACTATAAGTTGCTCTGGAGTATAAGTCAGACCAGCCAAACAATGTGTAATGAAGAAGAAAAAAACATATATATAAGTCACACTTTTGGGGGGAAAATTATCTAATAGAATCAGAGATCGTTGTATAAAGTCAAGTTCTAGTAATAACAACAGACTGTTAACGTCACATATGAACAGTTCTTCAGATAAACTGTATAACATAAACAACAGAACAGAACAAGTTTAACAAACTCTCCATCTCACTCCAAATCACTAAATCCATTCAATTCTTCATCCTCGGTGTCACTTCTGAGCAACTCCGCGACCTCCGGAGGTAAACCATAGATCATGAGGTCCGCTTTCCACCAGTCCCTCACAAGTTTCTCGCTCACTCCAAACTTTCTTTCTGCTGCTCGATTATTATTTTTGGCTGCATGTTTCACTATTTGCAGCAGGACAGAGGCCCTTTCTGCAGGAGACATGTGCAGTAGAGCTTTGTGACAGTGGTACAGGAGCCGCAGATACTGACATACAAGACTAGAGCCTCTCGTGGCTTCAATGTGAACATTTTAATATATAAGGCTACGTTCAGACTGCAGGGCTTAATGCTCAATTCCGATTTTTTTCGTGAAATCCGATGTTTCTGCGAGGTCGTTCACATTTCCAACTAGAAAAGCACTCAGAGAGCGCAGACCTCCGCCAAGGACTACCCCCATTTTTTATCTAAATTGCGATAAAATCAGTCTTCTGGATCAGATCCGGATCAGCCTTTGGAATATGAAAGAGGATCCCATTGTCCATCCCTGAGTCAAATTTCATGAGGTTTGGTCAATAATTAACCGAGATATTGAGAAACAAAATGTTTGGCCCCATTTACCACAATGTTAACTAAAATTTCAAAGTGATCCAGAATCCAGGATTTCTTCCGGATCACCCCCAAAATGAAATCAGTTCTTCCTTTTCACATTTCCAACAAATCCTGAAAATTTCATCAAAATCGGTCCATAACTTTTTGAGTTATGTTGCTAACAGACAAACAAACAACAGACAGACAGACAAACAAACAAACAGACAAACGCCGGCAAAAACATAACCTCCTTGGCGGAGGTAATTAAATGCGACTTGTATGTGACTCCAGTGTGAACATTAAACGGCCCGAAAGTGTCCCGCATGTGCACTGGAGACACAATAACGTCAACCGCAGCGAGCGTGCTCTGTGTTTACAGAAGTTGTCCAAACATGGATGCAGCATTGAGCACCTGGAGATTTTAAAGTTCCTCTCGTACCGGAGCCAGAACATGAACAACTTACTTGTTTTAAGGAGGAGATTGAGAAGGAGAAGGACGAGGTTTTTGGCCGTGGTGTTTTGTGGGACAGTCCACTGAAAGGAACGTGAGGATGTGGAGATGTAGCCAAGAGTGGTGAGTGGTGATGTGCTTCACTTTAGTGACACGGAGTTCATTAACAATTTTCGTTTGACGAGAAGAACGTTTGTGTACATTTGTCACTTGTTAATAACGTGAAGGTTGGACGAATGCGCTTTCGCCGTTCAGACTGAAGTCACATGTCAAAAGATCAGATATGTATCGGTTTCAGGAGCACATATCCTAAGTGTCCTGGGTCACATTTGAAAAAATCTGATCTGTGTGGTTCAGACTGTCATTAAAAGATCAGATACAGGAACATAGGGGCCAAAAAAATCGGATTTGGATCACTTCAGGCTGCAGTCTGAACGTAGCCTAAGTCAGAGAAAACACCCAAACGATGAAAAAAAAGTGCCACTTCTAGTCGGAAAAACACGGTAATACAATTAGCAAATCTCAAAGACTGACATTTTTGAAGTATCATCATTTCCTCCACAAACAACAACATCTTTAAAAGTGTTATCTGCATAAAAACTCTAATTCTTGTCTTAGTTTATCACTTCATATTTCAATCTGGACGTGTTTAAAATGTGAATATTATAAACAGCAAGTCTATTCACAATCGCAGTGTTTGTCAGAAAATGTACAATTCAGTGTTGATCCCAAATTCTTAAAGATGCACCGTGTAACTTTTTGATTGGAGGTCCATCACCTGCTTGTTTCTATAGATACTATGTCATTGTTCTGTCTGGAATGTTCCACAGTATGACATTAAACAGTGCTACTTTACATTTATTCAATTACAGGTGCGTTTATAGCTCAAAAATCTGTGGAGAGACAGACATTGTGACGGTGAGCCGGGTCGCATCTAAAATAACAAAAGCTTTTAGCAGTGTCCCCATGCGTCTGTGTGTGTGTCCCCCGGGGAGACCTGTGTCCTTGTCCAGGCATCTGTGTTCAGACCTGAGCTCAACAAGGGCCTCTGATTCACATTCTGCTGTAGTCCTGGTTTAGTCCTAATACAGTCCTGATTTAGTCTGGGTCAGTCCTGGTGTAGTCCGGGTTTAGTTCTGCTTTAGTTCTCGTTCCCTGTTGGTTTTGGACAGATTTTTAGTTCTGGTTTAGTTCTGGTCCGGTCTTGCTGTCGTCCTGGTTTTGTGCTGGCTTAGTCCTGGTTCAGTCCTGATGTAGCCCTGCTTTAGTCCTGGTTGAGATCTGAATTACTCTTGATTTAATCTTGCTTTATCCAATGAATTAAGCCTGTTTTGAACATATTTTAAAGTAGTGGCTTAGTCCCTGTTTAGTTTTGGTTTAGGTCATGGTTTAGTTCTTTAGTACTGTTATAGTCTGTTTTTTTTTTAATCTCACTTCTGGTTTAGTCCTGTTTTATTCCTGGTTAAGTCGTGGTATAGTCTTGGTTTTGTTTTGGTGTAGTCTTGGTTTAGTCCTGCTTTAATCCTGCATTTTAGCACTGGTTTTGTCCCATTTCAGTTCCGGTTCAGTTCGGTTTAGTCCCATTTCAGACTTGGTTTAGTCCCATTTTAGACCTGGTTTATTCCTGCTTTAGTCCTGCTTTTTAGCACTAGTTTAGTCCCATTTCAGTCCTGATTTAGTCCCATTTCAGTCCCGGTTTAGTCCCATTTTAGACCTGCTTTAGTCCTGATTTTTAGCACTAGTTCAGTCCCATTTCAGGCCGGGTTTAGTCCCATTTCAGGCCCGGTTTAGTCCCATTTCAGGCCCGGTTTAGTCCCATTTCAGGCCCGGTTTAGTCCCATTTCAGGCCCGGTTTAGTCCTGCTTTTTAGTCCTGTTTTAGTCCTGCTTTTAGCACTGATTTAGTCAAAATTCAGTCCCAGTTATTCTCATTTCAGTCCCAATTTGGTCACATTTCAGTCCCGGTTTAGTCCCATTTCAGACCTGGTTT